CGATGAAAAAAATATATAGTATATGTCAGTGATAGAGTTCCTCAGTTCCATCACTGCTTTGCTATTATTAGGACACTTTTCTTCTTAGGAATTACCTGCTAAAGAGTTTAGGGGTCAAGGATCATGATGTCCCGACTTACTTCCAATGGTCCGTTTATCACCATCATCATCACATAAACACAGAAAGAGATAAAAACAAATTAAGCAAATATGACTGGGCAGAGAATCTGGGTGATGAGTATATAGATATTAGTCTTGTAACGGTGATGGGTTTAAAAATCTTCAAAAGAGGAAATTAAAAACTGCCCCACCCTGTTCCAGACAGAGGGGCTTCCTGTCTGTTCTGGGAGGATATCAAACTTGACCCCGAGGTGAGGTCTTCTCAGCCCTGATTGCTCCAACTATGAAGCTGGGTCTTCACGGGTATACGAGGATTCCTGGAAGTGGCATTGCTAATGCTGTTTCGTTAGTTTGCTATTGTCAAATTCCTTCCTATGGAGGCTGCACCCCTTTGCATACACAGCGGGGATGCATGAGTGTGTTTTCCAGCTTAAGCATTTGTGCCAATTTTATCGGTGAGAACTGCTACTTCAGAGTCATTTTAATTAGCATTATTCTTATTAGGGGTGGAGCTGAGCTTCTTTTCATAGAGTTAAGGACTGTTCGTATTTGTTTCTCTGTTCATTTGTCTTTTTTTTTTAAAGTTTTTATTTGTTTATTTATAGAGAAAGGGTAAAGGAGGGAGAGGAACATCTATGCGCAAGAGAAATGTCAATTGGTTGCCTCTCCCACTCCCCCAACTGGGGACCTGGCGCCAATGCAGGCACGCACCCTGATCTGGAATAGAACCAGAGACCCCTCCATTCCAAGGTGGGTGCTCGATCCACTGAGCCACAGCAGCCAAGGCATCATTTCTTTTGTACATTTTAAAACAGTGGACATTTGGCTCTGGCTGTTGTGCTTCAGTGGATTGACCACTGACCTATGAACCAAAGGATTGCAGGTTGGATTCCCAGTCAGGACACATGCCCGGGTTGCGGGCTAGGTCCCTGGTAGGGGGCACAGGAGAGGCAGCCACACATTGGTCTTTCTCTCCCTCTTTCTCCTTCCCTTCCCCTTTCTCTAAAAATAAATAAAATCTTTAAAAAAATAAAATATTGGGCATTTGGTGTTTTTCTTTTATATATATTTTTAAAGATTTTACTTATTTATTTTTAGAGAAAGGGGAAGGGAAGGAGAAAGAGGGAGAGAAACACCAATGTGTGGCTGCCTCTTGCATGCCCCACACCGGGGACCTGGCCTGCAACCCGGGCATGTGTCCTGACTGGGAATCGAACTAGCGACTCTATGCTTTGCTGTCAGGCACTCAATCCAGTAAGCTGCACCAGTCAGGGCTGTTTTTGTTATATATTAAGGAAGTAAACATTTTGTGTGTGACGTAAGTTGTAAATATTTCCTCTGAGATTGTCACACTTCTCTTTGCTTATGGAACAATCTTTTCTTGAATAATTTCTAAATCTGTTTAAGTAGTTTTATTTATAAATTTTATTTCATGGCTCCATGATTTTTCCCAACTTTTTTATCATAAAAAATTTCAATCATACAGAAAAGTTAAAAGAAGCCTACAATGAAAACCCATGTGCCTACCACTTCTATGTTATTACCAATATTTTAACATGCTTGTCTTATCATATTTCTATCCACTCTACCCATCACTCTATCTACTAATTCATCTAATGCATTTTCGATGCATTTCAGAGTAAATTGCAGACATCGGTACATCTTCCTTAAATAATTCCCACATATCACTAGCTAGAATTCAATGATTCTTTCTGTTGTTGCTTTTAACTTTCTGTATAAATTAGAAAGATTCTGTACCAGCCAAGATGGAGGTGTAGTCAGACACACTGTGCTTCTTCGCAAAACCAAGAGGACAACAACAAATATAAAATTAAAAACCAACCAGAACTGCCAGAAAATTGAACTATATGGAAGTCTGACAACCAAGGAGTTAAAGAAGAAACATTCATCAAGACCAGTAGGAGGGGTGGAGACAGGCAGCTGGGTGGAGAGGACTCTCAGCAAGGCAGTGGCTGGTGGACCAGGATAAACTGGAGAGGAACCAGTGAGACAGAACACTGGGTTCTAGCGCAGGAAAATACAGCCTTAACACCTCTGACTGAAAAAATCTGTGGGGGTTGCAGGGCGGGAGAAACTCCCAGTCTCATAGGAGAATTCAATGGAGATACCCATGGGGTCCTAGAACATGCACATAAGCCCACCCACCTGGGAATCAGCACCAGAAGGGCCCAATTTGCCTGTGGGAAGTGACTGAAATCTGGCAGAGAGTGGAGCAAGCAGCACTGTTCCCTCTCAGACCCCTCCCCCACATACGGCATTACAACACTTGCAGAGACAAAAAAAAAAAAAAAAAGGCTCAAATGAAAGAACAGATCAAAGCTCCAGAAAAAATACAAATAAGTAATGAGGAGATAGCCAACATATCAGATGCACAGTTGAAAGCACTGGTAATCAGGATGGTCACAGAATGGTTGAGCATGGTTGCAAAATAGAGGAAAAAATGAAGGCTATGAAAAGTGAAATACAGGAAAATATACAGGGAACCAACAGTGATGGGAAGGAAACTGGGTCTCAAATCAATGGTTTGGAGCAGAAGGAAGAAAGAAACATTCAACCAGAACAGAATGAAGAAACAAGAATTCAAAAAAAAAAAAAATGAGGAGAGGCTTAGGAACCTCCAGGACAATTTTAAACGTTCCAACATCTGAATCATAGGGGTGCCAGAAGGAGAAGAGGAAGAGCAAGAAATTAAAAACTTATTTGAACAAATAATGAAAGAGAACTTCCCAATCTAGCAAAGGAAACAGACTTCCAGGAAGTCCAGGAATCTCAGAGAGTCCCAAAGAAGTTGGACTCAAGAAAGCACACACCAAGGTACATCATCATTACATTACCCAAGATTAAAGATAAGGAGAGAATCTTAAAAGCGGCAAGACAAAAGGAGACAGTTACCTACAAAGGAGTTCCTATAAGACTGTCAGCTGATTTCTCAAAAGAAACCTTACAGGAAAGAAGGGGCTGGAAAGAAGTATTCAAAGTCATGAAAGGCAAGGTCCTACATCCAAGATTACTCTATCCAGCAAAGCTTTCATTTAGAATAGAAGGACAGATAAAGTGCTTCCCAGATAAGGTCAAGTTAAAGGAGTTCATAATCTCCAAGCCTTATTATATGAAATTTTAAAAGGACTTATCTAAGAAAAAGAAGATAAAAAAATATGAACAGTAAAATGACAACAAACACAACTATCAACAACTGAACCTAAAAAGAAAACAAACAAACAAGCAAATGAAAAACTAAGCAAACAACTAGAACAGGAACAGAGTCATGAAACAGAGATCATGTGGAGGGTTGTCAGTGGGGAAGAGGAGTGGAGAAAGGGGGGAAAAGGTACCGGGAATGAGTAGCATAAATGGTAGGTACAAAATAGACAGGAGGAGGTTAAGAATAGTATAGGAAATGGAGAAGCCAAAGAACTTACATGTACAACCCATGGACATGAACTAAGGGCAGGGGGAATGTGGGTGGGAGGGGGTGTGCAGAGTGGAGAGGGATAAAGGGGGAAAATGGGACAACTATAATAGCATAGTCAATAAAATGTGTTTAAAAAAGAAAGACTCTCTCCTAAAATGGAAAGGAATTTATTCATGTATTCTTCTACTTATGTTTCCATTATTACATGGGATTTCTGGTTCATTTATGCATGTACATGGTGTGAGGGATGGATTCGATGTACACACTCACACACACACACTCACTTGGGGGAGTCTCTATTTTTAAAATTATTTTATAGAGATATAATTCACATACCATAAATTTCATCCTTTAAATGTGTACAATTTAGTGGTTTTTAGTGCATTCACGAAGTTTTACAATAATCACCACTACATTTATTTGTATGTATACATATATGTATATATCAGCGACTTTCAACCAGTGTGCCACAATAATTTTTAAGATACGCAATACCAAGCCCTGGCTGGTGTGGCTCAATGGATTGAGTGCTGGCCTGCAGACAAAAAGGTTGCTGGTTCAATTCCTGGTCAGAGCACATGTCTGAGTTGTGGGCCAGGTCCCCAATGGGGATGGGGAGGCCACAAGAGGCAACTGATCAATGTATCTCTTGGGCATTGATATTTCTCTCCCTCTCTTCCTCCCTCCCTTCCCTTCTCTAAAAATAAATAGCCTTTTTAAAAAGTATGCTATACCTGACTCTTTAGTCAGGGGCACTGAGCTCATTTCCTTCAGATTGTCAAATACAAAAATGACAACAGCCAACACACATCAATAACTGGTGTGAATGAATCAAAATTATACCTGTTTTTTGGTCAGATCGGCAAAAAGTATATTTTTTGGTGTGCTGCAGAATTTTAGTAATTAGTTTATGTGTGCTATAATACGAAAAAGGGTGAAAATTGCTGGTATATATACACTTACATATATATTTATATCTTGCCCCCCACCTCCAAATAGCTATCTAGTTGTCTCAGTACCACATAGTAAAAAGGCCATCTTTCTGTCAGGGGTCTAAGATGCCACGGTTGTCACCAAATATCCAGGTGTTCAGGTGTCCATTCTCTCCCATGGACCTGCTTGTCATCTCTTCACACGTGTGGGATAGCCGTGCTAACATCTACAGCCCTGGCCCAGGATTGTGGGAGGTGGGCCAGCAAGTGGCCACACCTCTTCAAGGCCTTTTACTAATTAGAGGGCTTCATCAACAGATATGAAAGCTTGACTCCCCAGCGACTGAGAGAAAACCAATTGGGCTGGAAGAGAGCCAGCAGGAAACTCTGGGAAGAAGAGGGACCAGGAATCAGGATACACCCCACCCGTGGGTGCCCCCCATCTCTTCCCCTGTCTCCCCAGCCCAAGGTGGAGGCCCTCCCTCTCTGGACATCTCCTCACTTCAGAGGGAGGACTAGCGGACCTAGGCCAGGGAGTGTCCCATCCAGCTCTATGCCCATAGTGGCCCCATGGAGGCACCTGCACAGCGTGACTGAGGCACCCAGAAGTTTGGGAGGTGAGGCCAAGGGTGTCCAACGCCTGGCGAGCGTAGTCTTCAGAATTCATTACAGCCATCCGATATTTCGTGTCATAGGTCATATTTGATTCGACCAGGCAGGGGTTCACTGTCTGCAGGTAGGAAGGAGGTACAGGGAAAAACCCCTCTCACTCTAGCCTAAATTCCCAGGCTGTCATTGAGAATCCCAGAGTTCCACCCACTTGCTGCTCCGGGACTCAGGTCTCAGAGAGTCCGCCCCTTTGGGCCCCGCCCAGACCCGCGCCGACCGCGCCCCATTGAGGCCCCGCCTGGCAGAGGCCACGCCCCCTGCAACTACGAGTAGCTCGGGAGGTTGCTCCTCGGGGTGTTTCGGAGACCCTGCCTTCTCCGCCCTTCCCTGCCCGAACCCCGCAGCCTCCGCGGTCTCTAAGCCCCCACCCCCGCCGCCAGAGCCCCCGCCTTCAGAACTGCCACTCAGGGTACGTCCTTGTGAGCCCCGCCCCCGCGGTCAGGCACCTGAGCGAGGACTCCCTCAGCGAAATATTCTGCGCCCACTGCCTGGGAGAAGCTCCGCACAAAGGCCTGCGGAGGAGGGAGAGCGAGGTCTCAGGCTCGCGGAACCCCCCCCACGCCCAACCCCCCCTCGGCCCCGTGCGTGCTCCTCGAGCTCGTCCCGCCCCAGCGCGGTCCCAGCTCCCAGCTCCGCCCCTGGTCCTCACCTGGATCCCTATTCCCATCCCCCACTCCGGGTTGCACCCGGCCCTCGCTGCGCTCCTTCCCCATTGTTCTCCCGCCCCCTCGCCTCCGTTTCTCTTAATAACAACAACAACAACAACAAAAACTGGACTGTGCCCTAGAAGTCACACGCGCGTGTGCGTGTGTTCAGGGCTGTGGCAAGAATCTCTCAGGTCGGCAGGATGGCCCTCGCCCGGGTCTGTGGGGTCTGGGTACCTTAAGAAGTTGAGTACGCTGAGAAGAGCGGATTGGGTTTCTTGCCAAGAATTGAAGAGACATTGATGATGATGCCTTTGCTCCTGGAGGAGGAAGCGGAGCTGAAAGGTGGGGAAGAGGGGGTCCAGATGATTCCTGCACCTCCACCCCCGAGCCACGCCCTAATCTGAGAATTGTAGCAGGGAAAGGGAAGTGTCGGAAACGTGGGTGGGACCGCTGGGGAAGGGGAAAAGCCTGGAGGTTGGATGGGGCGGATCCAGAGTGGAAGAGGAAAAGTCGGCCTCTTACCTGGAGACCATCTGGGGCAGGACGATTGCGGTCATCTGCAGGGCAGAGTGGAAGTGCCTCATTCTTCCCTTTCTAATACTTTCATCTGCATCCCCCTCCTCCTCAAGTCCACTCCCATCCCCCTATCTTTTTTTGGGGGGAATATTCCCCGGGCACCTTCTCCACGGAGGAGGGAGGGCTGGTCCGGGGAGGATGATTCTGGGGGTCACCTGGAGTGGTCAGAGCTATGCTGACTTTGCACTTAGCTCCTCCAGCGGGGTCTCACCTGGGCCACGGACATGATGTTGCAGTTTATAAGATCTGAGAGTCTCTGGGAAAACAAACGAACAAAAAAAACCCCCCAAAAATCCCCAGAACCATCAGTCCTTCCCTTCACCAACCCTCCTCAATGCCCACCTTTTCTTATTTCCTAGCTTACTTTTCCTTTAAGATGGAACACATACATATTTTTTAAAGTAGCATCTACTAGGATTTAACAGGCACATGCCCTTTGACCCATGAACTCCACTTCTGGACATTTATTTCTTTCTAAGACACTCACACATATGGGAAATGAATCGTGTCCAAAGATATTGGTGGCAACATTGTCATCACAGATAATAGGAAACATCCCGAACTTCATCCCTGGCTGGATGATTAAGTAAATACTGTGGAGCCCCAAGGATGTGTCACTGTGTGACAGGCGGCAGGAATGGGTCAGCTGTTGCTTCTCATTTGAATAATCCCCAAGAGTCATGGCTGCATATACAGGGCACAGAGCAGAACAGTAGGCTGCCTGACATCTGGATAAAAATGATGCATGCATGCTTCCACAGGCATAGAAAAAAATACCTACCACACTTTTAATTGGGGAGTCACTTTGGGGGAATGGTTTGGAGGGAGAAGACAGATTTTCACCCTCATTTCATAAACTTCTCCCTCTGAATTTTTTGACTCATACACTTTTTAAAAATATGCTTTTTATTTATTTTTAGAGAGAGGGGAAGGGAGGGAGAAAGAGGAGACAAACATAGATGTGAGAGAGAAACATCAGTTGGTTACCTGCTGTAAGCTCCCCAACCAGGGGGGCACCAGGCATGTGCCCTGACCAGGGATCGAACCGGCGACTGGGAGGATGCCCAACCAACTGAACCACACCAGTCAGGGCTTGCCCCCCAAGCTTTCTATAGAAGTACACCATGCACACACCAAAGTGCACAGATTTTTAGTGTAAAAAATAAATACAAATCTTTCATCTCTACCCCTATGAAGAAAGAGAGTATTGAGTGTCCCAGATTCTCCCCCCTGGCAGCCATGACCCCGGCCTCCTCCCTGGTTAACCACCACCTTGACCTCTAAAATGCTCTAGAATACTTTCGTCCAGTTCTGAACTTCCTGGGAGTGGAATCACACACGGCACACTTCCACCCCTGGCTTTCTCTGCTAAACATTCTGTTTATAAGATTCATCCACGTTGTGCGAGAGCGGAGGTTTATTTACGTGCCTTGCTATAACTTTATATTGTGTGAACACGGCATGCGTTGTTCATCAAATCAACAGTTGGTTGTGTCAAGTTTGGGGCTGTCAAAATTCGCCTAGAAACATCCCTGAATGTGTCTTTGGCATGCATGTGCACACGTGTACAACCAGGAGTGAAGTGGAGGGATGGTAGACTGCGCTTATTTCCCATCTTAAGAGGTACCGCCAGTTTCCCCCAAACTATCCAAACTTATATGCCCACCAGCAAAGCTTAAGAATTCTAGTTGTTCCGCATCCCGACAACACTTGGTATTGCTGACTGTTAGCGTTAGCCATGTTTTTTTTAAGATTTTATTTATTTATTTTTAGAGAGGGAAGGGAGGGAGAAAGAGAGAGAGAGAGAGAAATATCAATGTGGGGTTGCTGGGGGCCGTGGCCTGCCACCCAGGTATGTAGCCTGACTGGGAATCAAACCTGTGACACTAGCGTTAGCCATTTTAGTGGCTGTGTCATTGTGTCTCTGGTTTGAATCTGCAACTGCCTAATAAGAATGATGTTGAATAAGTTTTCACAGGTCATTTGGATTTCCTCTTTTGTACAATGCCTATCAAATGTGGCTCCCATTTTCACTGGGTTGTTTGCATTTTTTTTATTTTAAAAAGATTTTGTTTATTTGTTTTTAGAAAGGAGAAGGGAGAGGGAGAGAAACATCAATGTGCGGTTGTCTCTTGGGCGCCCCCTACTGGGTGGCCTGGCCAGCAACCCAGGCCTGTGTGTGTATATACACACACAGGCATGCGAGCGCACGCACACACACACACACACACACACACACACATGTTTGATGACGTCCCACAGGTCCCTCGGGCTCTGCTCATTTTTCTTATTTTTCTTTTTTGCTTTTCTGCCTAGATACTTTCAATTGTCTTATCTTCAGGAATGCTGGTCTTCTTTTTTCCCACATGCTTGAATGTGCCGTGGGAACCACAACGCCCCCTCCAGCCCAGTGAATTTTTCATTGAAATTATTGAACTTTTCAGCTACACAATTTTTTTGTTCCTTTTAATAATTGCTCTCTCTTTATTGATATTCACATTTTGTTCATACATCATTTTCCTGATTTCCATTCGTTTTTTCTTTTTTTGCCCATGGTTTCCTTTAGCTCATGGGGCATATTTAAGACAGCTGACTTACTGTCTTTGACTAGCCAACGTCTGGGCTTCCTCGGGAATGGTTTCTGTGAAACTATTTCTTTGCTACACATGGGCCATGCTTTCCTGTTTCTTTGTAGGGCTTTAATTTTTTTGGTTGATGACTGGAGATTCTGAGTATTATTTATAATGTGTTAACTCTTGAGATCTGACTTTCCCATCATCCACCGGGGGTTGCTGATTTTTGCTTGCTGCGGCTGCAGCCATCTGTGTTTGACTTTTCCAAACTCTTTTTGCAATGCGTGTGCTTCTCTGTGTGGTCCCTGAAGCTCCTGTTCCATTGTCTCTGTGGTCACCCAGTGACCCAAAACTAGTAAGGAGATTAAGTCAATAATCAAAAACTTACCCGGAAAGAAACTCCCTGAGCAGATGGCTTCACTGTTAATTTTACCAAACATTTAAAGAGCTCATGCCAATCCTTCTCAAACTCTTTAAAAAAAATAAAGAAAGAAGACAGGACACTTCCTAACATTCTCTGAAGCTGACAGCGCCCTGATGCCAAAGCCAGACAAAGACACTACAAGAAAAGAAATCTGTAGACAAATCTCCCTTTTGAACATTGATGCAAAAATCTTCAACAAAATACTTGCAAACTGAATTCAGCAGCATATTAAGAGCATTTTACACCATGATCAAGTAGGATATATTCCTGGAAGGCAGGGATGGTTCGACATATGGAAATTGATTAATGAAGGCCTCGCTGGATGGCTCAGTTGGTTGGAGTGTCATCCCAATACACCGAAAGGTTGTGGGTTCAATTTCCAGTCAGAGCACAAACCTAGGTTGTAGGTTTGATCCCCAGTTGGGGCGCCTACAGGAGGCAACCAATTGATGTTTCTCTTTCTGCTCTCTCTCTCTCTCTCTCTCTCTCTCTCCCCCTTCCTCTCTCTCAAATCAATAACCATACCCTTGTGTGAGGATTTAAAAAAAAGAAATTAATGAACATAATATAGCAGATTAACAAAATAAAGGAAAAAGCCATATGATTATCTCAATTGGTATGGGAAAAGCATCTGACAAAATTCCACACCCTTTCATGATTACAACACTCAATAAACTAGGAATAGTAGGAAATTACTTCGACATGATAAACATATGAATAATAAACATGAAAAGCTCACAACATGCTTCATAGTGAAATACTGAAAGCTTTCTCCATTTCTATTCAACATAGTATTAGAAGTCCTAGCCAGAGCAATTACGCAAGAAAAACAAATCAAAGGCATCCGAATTGCAAAAGAAGAAGTATAATTATCTCTAGTCACAGACAATATAATCTTATGTGTAGAAAACCTTCAAGATTCTCCCTGGCTGTTGTGGCTCAGGGGACTGAGTGCCCGCCTGCAAACCAAAGCATCACCAATTTGATTCCCTGTCAGGGCACAGGCCTGGGTTGTCTGCTAGGTTCCCAGTAGGGGGTGCAGGAGAGGCAACCACACATTGATGTTTCTCCCACATTTTCCCTCTCTAAAAATAAATAAATAAATAAACAAATAAATAAATAATCTTTTTACAAAAGATTTTATTTACTGATTTTTAGAGAGAGGGAAAGGGAGAGAGAAAGAGAGGGAGAGAAACACCAATGTGTGGCTGCCTCTAGCGCACCCCCCACCCGGGACCACGCCACTGCCCAGGCATGTGCCCTGACTGGGAGTCGAACCAGCAACCCCCTGGTTCGCAGGCTAGTGCTCAGTCCACTGAGCCACACCATCCAGAGACTTACATAATTATATTTAATTTAACAAAGGAGGTAGGCATCTGAAACTGAGATACAAGAGATCATGTGACTCCCATCAGAAGAAGTATGGGGATATACCTACAGGTGATTCAGAAAAAAGAAGCTATGGATTCAAGAATGATCCAAAACAAAAATCTAGAAAACCTCGGACTCTAAAATGACAGGCACCCGTTTTCCCATGTGGGTCATTCCCCTCTGAAGTAAGCACCAGGCACTATAAAAGGGCAGAACCAGAGAACTTGAACAGTTATACTAGTTGGGCAATGCAGAAGGGTGCTCCATCTCAGAGGACCACCTTCACGTCCTAGACATCAGAGATGCTTAGCTTTGAAAACAATTTTCTGAGAGAAGGCAATCGTGTACCTTGTTCCAACAAAGCTAGCTACTGCGTGGGCTTCCCCACAGAGGGCAGTAGTGAAAGCAAGGGGTGCTGGGCTGCCGGCTGGGCTGTACTCGGTTTCACTCACTTTGGCGTCGTTCTCACAGTCGAGCAGTTTACTTGGCTGTTTTGCGTACAGCATGCCCACATTGTTCACTGAGCGAGAGAGAAGTTGTTTATGTCACTCCAACAGTCCCCCAGGGAGACCGGCTGGGGGCAGAGGGAGGGCGACCACAGAGGGTTCTGGGTCAGGGTGAGCATGTGAGCACTTGCAGGCAGGGATCCTCCGAGCAGGCTTGGGGACATACCCAGGACTCCAATCTCCAGGTCCTTCAGTCCTGTCTCAATGGCCTCATAGATCTCCAAGCCACCGGTGAAGTCTGCCTGGATGACTCTAGTGACCCTACCATGAAGTTGCTCTGGGAAGAGGGGCAGTGGGAGCCAGGCCCTCAGCTGGAACCAGTCCCACTCTGCCCCCACCCGACCCCTGTCTGTGCGTTCAGCCCCAGCCTCTGCCCTTTCCTTGTGTCCCCCAGCCCAGAGGCAGCTGAAGCCCCTTGGCTGCCTCCACTCTGACCTCGCCCCCGGACACGCCCCCATCTAGCCCCGCTCCAGTTTCCAACTCTGTCGGCCGTTCCCTTTGGCTGTCACCTATCTCCTTCACCTCATGCTTCAGCTTGCTCAGGTTTCGACCGATGAGAACGATGTTCAGACCTCTTCGGGCGAGCTGTGGGGGGATTCAACCGTTTATTCAGCTACTTCATGAATATGTACTGTGCGTTGACTGCGTGTTGCAGAGTGTTGTAAGCGCTATGGCTGCAGAGTGAACAACAAAGAACCAAAGCCTGCCCTCCAGGAACACGTCTTCTGGGAAAAGAGCATCCCAGGCAGATGGAACAGCATGTACAAAGGCCCTTGCACGAAGGCTGGCAGCGTGGAGGACAGCATGGAGTCCAGCGAGCACTGAGCGAAGGGACCTATTGTTATACAGCAGCTCGGTGAGGTGGGCAAGGGGGCAGATCATGGAGCCTCAAACGCCCCAGTAAAGGCTTTGGCTTTTTTTCTCAGTGATATCAGAATCCAGTCATTCAAGAGTTCGCTTTTTCCTTCGTTCATACATTTGTTCAAAACATATGTGCTGGCACCTGCCTTTTGCTGGACGGTGCTGGGGACACAAGGTGCCCATGACAGACTCAGTCTCACCCCCTCCTCTCCAGCCCCCACTCAGCAGCTGGAGGGCTCTTTTGAAAGCACAAACCTTCCCCTCCCTCTCCTGCTCACTCAGAACCCGCCTGGGCTCCCTGGGGCAAAGATTGGGTATCGGGTATGACTCCAAGCTTTTGGCCTTTTAGCTGAAGTCCCTTCTTGGTTCTTATAAAGGGATTTTTTTTTGTATTCTTTTTCTTTTAGATTTCTTGGGATTCTCTATGTAGGTAATCATACCATCTGTAAATAGAGACTATTTTATTTCTGTTCTTCCAAAATGTCTGGTGACTTCATTATTTTTTTAAAGATTTTATTTATTTATTTTGAGAGAGAGGGGAAGGGAGGAAGAAAGAAGGAAATAGCAATGTGTGGTAGCCTCTCACGCACCCCCTACTGAGGGCCTGGCCCACAACCCAGGCCCGTGTTCTGACCAGTAATCCAACTGGCGACCCTTTGGTTCGCAGGCCAGCACTTAATCCACTGAGCTGCACCAGCCAGGGCACATGTCTGGTGACTTGAAATGGCACTGAGAGCCCTGGCCGGTGCGGCTCAGTGAATTGGGTGTCGGCCTGTGAACCAAAGGGTCGCCAGTTTGATTCCCGGTCAGGGCACATGCCTGGGTTTTGGGCCAGTTCCCCAGTGCGGGGCGGGGGAGAGGGGGGGCACGCAAGATGCAACCACACATTGATGTTCTTCTCCCTCTCTTTCTCCCTCCCTTCCCCTCTCTCTAAAAATAAATAAAATGTTTTTAAAAAATAAATGGCACTGAGATGCTGATGATGCTTATATGTGTGTCTCCACCTGGACATGCCCTCCAGAGTGGCACACCCATCTGCATACTTCTCAACTCAGACCCCTAACCGGAGTCTCAAACCTAAAAGGCCCAGACTAAACAACTCTGTTTCCCACCAACCTGTCCCTCCCTCAGTTCAACCCAAAGATATCACAAGAAAACTACAAACCAATATTCCTCATAAACTTGAACACAAAGATCCCCAGCAAAATAGGTACACCCATAAATATGCTTTGAATGAATGGATCTGGGCGTTGATGGGGAAGTACCAAGAGACCATAGAAGCCCCGTGTAAACATGTGACCCAGACTGGGGAGCAGAGGGAAGGCTCCCTGAAGGAGAGAGGATGTCCGAGGGAACCAGATAAAGTAAGCGAGTCCAACAGGGGTTGCTGACCACATGCAAACCGACGGAAGCCCCCACCACCCACAAGGCAGGCTCCGAGCCCTGGCTCACCTCGTGTGTATAGGCCCTGCTGATACCACTGGTGGCTCCCGTCAACACTAGAGAGGAGAGAAGGAGGAGGAGCAGGAAGGCTACCCCTCACACTCTGCCCCAGCCCCCCCTCAGTCCCCCTCACTGAGACCCCACGCCACACCATCCTTGTCTTCATCCCTCATTTGCCCGGGCTGTGACACTCCCTCCCCTGCCCTGCATGGTTGCGGGGACTCCATGCCTCCTTGGGTCGACCCAGCCTTCGCTTTTGCTTCCAGGAGTCCCCTCTGCCTCTGCTTGGGTTAGGGGCCCTCGCTTGTCGTCTGTCCTCGCTCCTGTGGCCCCCATCCCTACCCGCCGGACACAGAGCTCTTGACTCTCACCTGCCCAGGCTCCGTGCGCCCTGAGCCAAGGGGCACCCCGGACGTACCTGGGGCAGCAGGTACACGTAGACTGTGCAGCCCACCCCCCAAGCCGCCCACAGCAGCAGGCACACGGCTGTCACCGCCCCCAGCACTCTCAGTGGGTCCCACTCCGACTCCATTGCAGCCCCCTCCAAGTCTCCAGACCCAGGTCCAACACGAGGATGCTGCTCTTGAGTGCTGCTATTTCCACCCTCAGGTGCCTGCTCCGCGTTAACCCCTCCCACAGTACAAGCATTCGGCTTCGCCCCAGACTCTAGCGGAGCCTCTTTTATTCTAGACCGTGAGCCCTGCCCATCTAATTTGGGCTGAATGCCACTCCCCCCACCCCCTGCCCTGCAGGCCCAGTGAAAGCCTCGTCGCCCCTCCCACACGGCTGGGTAAAGCACTCCCACAAGTGACCTTGGCTTGGGTCACTGAACTCATCTTGGGAGCAGGTGGGAGCCCCATTCGAGTTTTATCAGTGCGCAGTGTGTCCCAGAAAACCATGACCCGCGGACTGCTGCTCAGGCAGAACAAAAGCCAAAGCCCTTCCAGTGACTTCCCCTTCACATGTGACCTTGCTCCTCATTGCTCCTTTCCCAGCTTCTTTTTTCTACTTGTTCTTGATGTTTATTTATTGTTATTACTGTTACACAATATACACCACATATGATTTACCATTTTAACCCTTTTTAAGCGTACAATTCATCGACACAAAGCATATTCGCAATGTTGTGCAACCATCACCACCATCTAGTTCCAGGAATATTTCATGACCCAGAAAAACTCTGGACCCACTAAAAGATCACTCCCGTCCTTCTTTCCTCCAGGTCCCGGTCACCTTTATTCTATCAATACTTTCTGTGTTGACAAAATCACATATTCCAGATGCCTCACATAAGAGAGATCGTAGATATCTGTCCTTTACTCTCTTGCTTATTTCACTCAGCATAATGTGTTCGGTGTTCATCTGTGGTACAACATGTATCAGAACCTCATCCCCCCTGGCTGCCATGGCTCAGTGGATGGAGTACTGGCCTGAGAATTGCAAGGTCACCGGTTCGATTCCCAGTCAGGGCCCATGCCTGGGTTTCCGGCCAGGTCCTCAGTAGGGGGTGTGTGAGAGTCATCCACACATGGATGTGTGTCTCTCTCTCTTTCTCCCTCCCTTCCCCTCTCTCTCAAAATAAATAAATAAAATGTAAAAAAAAAAATAAAAAGAACCTCATCCCCTTTTACAGCTGAGCACCATTCCTTTGCACCTGATATTAGTTTGCTTATTCATTCACCTGTTGGTGGACATTTGGGATGTTTCTGCCTTTTGCCACTGTGGCTAATCTACCAGGAACATTTCCGTGCAGGTATCTGTTTGAGTCCCTGCTTTCTCTTCTTTTGGGTATATATACCAAGAAGTGGGATTGCTGGATCATACAGTAATTCTGTATTTAACTTTCTGACGGACCTCCATACTGTTTTCGATAGGGGCTGTACCATTTTGCATTCCCACCAACAGTGTACGTGGGTTGTGATTTCTCATCATCCTCACCAACGCTGCAACTTTCTGCTGTTGTTTTATGCAATGGCCATCCTCATGCAGAGGGATGTGGGGTCTGACGTGCTTTTGAGTTGCACTTCCTTAGTGAACATCGATCTTTGCGTGGGTTTGTGGGCCGTTTGCATTGCATAGCTTCCTTGGAGAAAGGTCTGCCCATGTTTGAATGGGGCCATTCGTTTCTTTGTTGCTGAGTTGTAGGTGTTTTTATATATGCTGAATACAAATCCCCTACCAGATGCATGATTTGTGAATATTTTCTTCTCTAAAAGTTGTATAGTTTTATCTCTGTGTTAGATCTTTGGTTCATTTTAACATTTGTATAAGGTATAAGGTAAAGGACCAACTTCATTTTTTTTTTTGCATGTGAATATTTGGTGTTTCCAGCACCATTTGCCAAAAAGACCATCCTTTCCCCCATTGAATGCTCTTGCCAGCCCTGTAAAGAACAACTGACCTTGCCCTGGCTGGTATGGCTCAGTGGATTGACTACTGACCTGTTAACCAAAAGGTCAACGGTTTGATCTCCAGATTTCCAGATGGGGTACCTATCTGTGTTGCAAGCGAAGTCCCCAGTTGGGGGGCATATGAGAGGCTACTGATGGATGTATCTCTCACATTGATGTTTCTCTCCCTCTCTTTCTCCCTCTCTTTCTCTCTCTCTAAAAGTAAACAAATAAAATCTTGAAAAATAAATAAATAGCCCTGGCTAGTGTGGCTCAATGGATTGAGCGCCAGCCTGAGAACCAAAGGGTCGCCGGTTAGATTCCCAGTCAGGGCACATGCCTGGGTTGTGGGCCATGTCCCCAGTAGGGGGTGCATGAGAGGCAACCAACCACACATTGGTGTTTCTCTCCCTCATTTCCCCTCTGTCTAAAAATAAACTAATTTTAAAAAAGACAAAATTAAAGAAAGGAAAAAAGATAAAAAAGTTAAGTCTCTACTCAGTTATACTTCAATTCCATGGGGGCAGGGGAGACTTTAGGTCAGCGTGCACCTGGCAGTCAAAGTTCTTTTTCTCTGTGCATATTTCAGCCACATGATTTTGCTCTATTGACTTTGAAAGGCAACAAACTGAGTATCTTCTTAAAAATAGGATAGGACTTTGGCCTGATTCTGTGGTTACAGCCTTTTGGATCATGGGGGCTCCATCTTCTGCACCCACTTGGGGGATGTCTCTTGCATCCATGGCAAAAATGTATTCTAAACCAGGAAAATTACTCCTGGGGCTTTTCGTGAAAAGGCTTATTGGACTGAGTCTCTATAGAAATGCACACACCTTTGAATGGCTAGATGAGGGATCCTTGTGTTTGGAAAAACTTTTGCATTTGAAATAAATTTTAGAGAGCACTCATCCTAAACAAATGTCTTATTGGTACCTAAGATCAAATGGAAAGAGGGACCCGAAAGAGCTTCCGGACCAGCCTTCGGGCCTCCCTCAAAAAAAATAAAAAAACAGAAATCGGTCCCCGCTGGTGTGGCTCAGTTGGTTGGAGCGGCCGGGTGATTATGGGAGGCAACTGATCGATGTTTCTCTCTCTCTGAAATCAATAAGCACATCCTTGGGTGAGGGTTAAAAAACAAAAAAAACAAATAAAAAAATCAGAACAAAAAATTAAAATCCAGCCCTGACTGGGTAGCTCAGTTTGTTAGAGCACCTTCCTGGTAATGCCAAGGTTGTGGGTTCGATCCACAGTTAGGGTGTGTATAGAAGCAGCAACCAATGAATACATCATAAGTGTAACAACAAATTGATGTTTCTCTCTCTTCCCTTTCCTCTCTCTCTCCCAAATATCAATAAAATAAAATTTAAAAATAAACTAAAATCCACAACCACATAAAGCCCCCTTTGCCACCTTCCTATATATATTCCACACCCGAGGCTCTTCAGTCTGGCCCAAAAGCCAAACAGACACGAGACAGACTAGCAAGAGGAAATAACCAAATTCAATACATGCATTTGTGAAGGAAGCCCGCACACCTGCGAGAATCAGAGAGCCCACATGCGGGGACAGAGCAGAGACGGGAAGGGAACACGCGTACATGAGACAGACCGAGCTAGAGAGGAGGTCCAGTGACTTGGGGCTTCAAAGGGTCATTGCAGAGTGGTAAAAGCCAATTAATTAATTTTCAGAGAGACGGGGAGGGGATGGAAGGAGAGAGGGAGAGAAACATAGATGTGCCAGAGATACATCGATTAGTTACCTCTTGCGCGCCCCCTACTGGGGAACCTGGCCCACAACCCAGGCCTGAGCCCTGACTAGGAATTAAAACAGCGACGCTTTGGTTCTCAGGCCAGCACTTACCCCACTGAATCACACCAGCCAGGGCTCCGTTGTCTTTTTGCATCTAAGATAACATATCTTTGAAATATCAGAGTGATCTCCTTTTCTGGTCCCCTCAGGAGACACCCACGGCACCAGAGCAGAGACCATAGAACCCAATTGTCATCCAGTTCCTTGAATACCACCTCTATGTTCTGTAAATGTCATTATTAACTACCCTGGATCCATCTGTGGGAGATGGATGTGTCTCCGTTTTACTCTTTACCCAATCCCAGAGTTCTCCCTGCTTTGCTTTCTCTGGCCTCTCTGATTTACCACCAAGGAATTTCACGTAGTCCTCCTTATGTCTCCTCCTGGGATTGTAAATACATAAAATAAGCTGCAAAACTGTCATGCTTTGGAGCATTTTCTCAATCTGTTAAGATTTCCCAACAGTTGTCCTCAGTTTGGCTTAAATAATCTCATAAAACTTATCTACAGCTTTGGATGTTTCTTACATTGACGGCTAGAAATCTGCTCGCACACAGAGACAAATCCAGAATAGCGCAGTTGCGGTGCTCGCGCAGCAGGTTCCTGCAATGCACGTGGCTTCCTCGGCTCCCAGCTCCTGCAAGGCCGTCTGCATAGCAACACTCAGCCTCCCCAGGCACCCACCTCTGATGGTTTTGCAAAGCCTCTGGACCCTTCCTGACTTCATTCAACAATTTGTAATGGGAATATTCACCATAAATATAAAGACAAGAGCCAGCAGCAGTAAGTGTGGGAGCAGATAAAATTTAGTACATTTAAAAACATCATAAAGTCATCAAACTTCAAACAAAATTAAATGGCAACATGTGTGACACATGAAATTATATGCCTAATATATAATGATTTCTTATAAATTAGTAAGAGAAAAGATGACACAGGTAAAAAAAAAAAAAGTGGATGAAAGCCCTGGCTGGTGTGGCTCAGTGGATTCAACGCCAGACTGCAAAGCAAAGGGTCACTGGATCGATTCCCAGTCAGGACACATGCCTGGGTTGCAGGCCAGGTGCCCAGTTGGGGATGCAGAAGAGGCAACCACACATTGATGTGTCTTTCCCTCTCTCTCTCCCTTCCTCTCTCAAAAATAAATAAAATCTTAAAAAACAACTATGAACATTAAAAAGGCAACAAATTCACAGCTATCAACAACTGAAACCTAAAACAAACAAACAAAGCAAACAACCAGAACAGGAGCAGAGTCATAGGTATGGAGATCATTTAGAGGTCTATCAGTGAGGAGGGAGAAGGGGGAGAATGAGGGGAAAGATGCAGGGATTAAAAAGCATAAAAAATAGTCAGGGGGAGGTTAAGAATAGTAGGGAAATGGAGAAGCCAAAGAACTTACGTGCACGACCCATGGACATGAATTAAGTGCGGGGGGATGCTGGAGGGAAGGGGGGGGACCGGATGGAGGGAGCAAAGGGGGTAAAAGTGGAACTGTAATAACATAATAAAATATACTAAAAAAATAGTGTGGTTGGCTGGGCTGGACAATCTCTCAGTGTTATTATAGAAACTGCTTCTCAATGCTTCGAAAATAGCAGAAAACAGGAGGAAAAAGAATGAAAATCAACAGTCTGCACTTTGCCAGCTGAGTCTGTAGGAAAACGGAAGATGATTCTAAGTCCACCCACTGTTCTCGCCCGGCCAGCTGCAGAGCGGAGCCTCACTGATTTGTCTCAAGACAAGGGCAGATGCTGTGAAAAGCCAGATATGGGGCCAGCAGTTGCCCTGCACTTCAAAGAAAGGAAAGCTCACATATCGATCTCCCTACGCCCCAGTGTCCTCAGAGAGTCATTAAAAAAATTTCTTTATTGATTGATTGACTTCAGGGAGAGACAAACACGGATTCGCTGCTCCACTTATTGACAACTCATTGGCTGATTATTTTTTTAAGCAGCTTTCTTTTACTTTTTAAATTAATTATTTAGTTATTTTTAGAGAGAGAGGGCAGGAGGGAGAAAGGGAGAGAAACATCAATGTATGGTTGCCTCCTATGTGGCCCCCATTGGGGACCAGGCCCACAACCCAGGCATGTGCCCTAACTGGGAATCGAACCTGCGACCCTTTGGTTTGCAGCCCGCACCCAATCCACTGAGCTACACTAGCCAGGGCTCATTGGCTGATTCTTGTATGTGTGCCCTGACCAGGGAATTGAACCTACAACCTTGATGTATCAGGATGATGCTCTAACCACCTAAGCTACCTGGCCAGGGCCTCACAGGGTCCTTTTTCCTCTTCTGTGGGACACTTCCTGATTGAGGACTTAGTCAGTCATTAGTCACAACCTAGGTCCCTGACTTAACTCAGAGGACCAGGCAGTGGATTTCCTCACTGGCACTGGTGCAACTTTTCCTAGCACTGCCTTGGAGGACTGGTCTGTACCTGTCACCTCTCCTTCCATTCAAGCTGTCGGGAATCTCTGGGAAACCTGTTTCTTTGCCTCTTTACACCTACGTGCCTTCCTAGTTTCGGATTCCTCACCAGCAAACCTTCTAGCTAGAGATTTGGTGTTAAAATTTAATGCCACCATAATATAATTAAAAAAATGTTTTTATGTCCTTGCCCTGAGACCAAACCTCAAACTTCCTACTTCCCCTAATGAACAGCCACCTCGATTAAATTCATCTGAAGAGGACCCAACCTTAAAACATGTTCTGATTAGTCTTGGGGCTCATGTGTGAACGGGCTTGCATTACTACTAAGTGCAGAACTCATAGGCCGTGTCTAGGAAAGGAATAAACCCTTTTGCATCTGTAGTCCAATTCCCATTCCTTCTCATTCTTATTTGCCCTAACAAGGAATCAAACCTGTAACAGACTCTCTGGAACAGCAGGGTGTTCTCCCCTCTCCCTCCCCACCATGCAATACTCCAACCTGGCTTGTAATTGAAGGGAAATTTGACTCAGAAGAAAATCAAATCTACTGAGGAACTTCAGTGACTCCTCGCCCCCCTGCAGTCTCTCACCGGCGCTTACAACCTGTCCTGCTGTCGGCGTCTAGTTTACAGGGGTTGCCTCCACTCTACTTTCTTTGCCAACCCTTTGCGTCCTGACTCAGTTTCTCTTAGCAGTTATGTTGAGATGATTAACACAGACTCCCATGCTTCAGGGATGTCCTATCTCCCTCTATACTTCCCAAGTTCTTTTAAATTTCTTATTTATTGATTTTAGAGAGAGTGGAAGAGGGAGAAAGGAGAAAGACATTGATTTGTTGTTCCACGTATTTATGCATTCATTAGTTTAGTCTCGTATGTGCCCTGACCGGGGATCAAACCTGCAACCTTGGTGTGTTGGGACCGCACTCTAACCAACTGAGCTACCCAGTCAAGGCTCCCCCTTTGGAGTTCTTAAAGCTTAGGCCACACCCTTGTTCAACATATTGATGATCTCTTCGTCTGTAACCAGATTAGGCAGGGGGACCTTATTCGGGTCCCTCACTCTCCGGAAGGCACTAGCTGAAGGGGCCAGAAAGCCTCCAGACCTAAACTTCAACGGGTGCAAACAACTGTCACCTACTTGGGATGTGAGTTACCTCAAGGCATGCAAAAATTTACCCCCCAAAACACCTTGACTCAATTGTCTCTCCCTCTCCACAAAAAAGCAGTTATAAAACTCTCCAGGGGCAGCTGGTTATTGCCACCAACGGGTTCCTATTTTCGCTGCCCTTGCTAAACCTTTGTATGCCCTCCTCCCAGATGCTACTCAGGGCCAATTTCCTGGTCCGTGGTCACTTCTTCTGTTACTTAAACAGGTTACACTCCCTTCTGACTCAGGGCCTTTGCATATGCTGTTCCTCCTGCCTGCAACTCTCTCTACTCGTTTCATCTCTTTATACCTTGAGGGTTCAGCTCAAACTCACTCGCTTCCTCAGCAAACCCATCTGACCTCCCCCATCTGTCTCCACAGACGCAGTCGCCAGAGGGCGGTTACACCCTCACAAAACTCCTGTACCTCTTTATGACACTAATCATAGTGACAGGAAAATCAAAGCTGTAAGTCGTAATTATTAAAACTGCCCATTTATTTATGAGAGTATTTTATTAATATCTGTCTCTTGCAGTGGCCTGTGAGTGAGCTCGGCAAGGGCCCGGACTGGCTGAGGCTCCCAGCGTGCCCCACACAGGGCAAACATGGAACAGGTGCCCTGCAAACATGTGCCACGGAATACAAATGCAGAACCAGGCAAAAAAAAAACAAAAACAAAAAACAACGGAACACTCAGGGCCCTCACTGACAGCTACAGCTTCACCTTCAACAGTCCAGGCAGGAAGGATCCCTCTCTTAGGATCTTCATTTCTCAGAGAAATCGCTAACCAACCCACCCAGCACAGGTGGAGGGATAAGAGGAACCGACCATGTCAGTAAATGTTGCATGTTTTAATGAGTCTGCCATAGAGTTCTCTTCCCCAACTTCTCCTTGCTGGGGATTCAGCTCTCAGCTTTAGGTTGGGATGAAAGAGTGGGGACGGGAATAAATGTGCACAAGACTGAGGTATTAGGGCTGTGGCCAGAAGGAGGAGCAGAAATCCAAGTCCTCTTAGCATCCAGGGGTCAACACGATGAACAAACTCTTTGCGTGTGGCCTGAATCTGCAAAGCAGTATCACTGCATCCAAAGCAGCAGGGCAGCCTGCATTGAACCCTAAGTGAAGGTGCCATTATCCGCCTGGACAGTCCAGGCCCGTTTTGTATCTGGAGCTCAGGCACAAAGTGCTACTTTGGCCTGGAGAGGGCGGAGGGCCCACCTACTTGGGTCTGGAGGAGATGCCATCTTGAGCCCCAAGAGTGGGTTGGAGGACACCTTGGGTCAGGAGGGACCCCCATCTTGGGCCTGATGACAGAAGCCTTAGTGGGTTTCTGGGGCCCAGGAACAGGCAGATAGTATAAGCTGGATGGGAAAAGCAAAAAAGAAGCAAAACCAATCCTAAGGGTAACACTAGACCCAGGAGATGAGATCAGGCCGATGGGGAGTGGCTAAGCCCAAGGAAAAGGAGCAGGAGATGGCAGAGCAAGGACTAAAACTAGGAGATGGAACCAGGGACAACGCTGGAGGGTCCAGCCCAGGCAGACAAAATTCTAGAAGTGTAGCTAAGAGTAAAGGCGGAGCCACGGGGGTGAAGGAAGGCGCCAGGGAACCTGGCTAGGAAGCTCGGAGCCTGTGGGATGCACCATCCAGCGGAGTGCAGTGTCAGAGGGGAGAAGGTGACAGCCCCAACAAATAGATGCTGGGGCTCCTGTGGAAGCAGCATCAGCCCCTGGGAGCAGAAACCAAACTTAGAAAAGCAGAGCGCAGGGAAAGGTGGGCACAGCCAGCACCCAGGATGGAGACAGATCAAGGAGGAGCCAGTTACCCAGGCGCTGGAGCCAAGCCTCAGACACAGGCTGCCAGGAACCAGGGAGAAGGGCCAGGACCACCTGGAGAAACCAGACGCAAGGTGGGGTCTGAGCACCATTACCCCACCCACCATCAACACACACACGTGCGCAATGTTGTCCACGGGGTGGGGTTAGCCCTGAGGGTGACAACAGTACGGGATGGGGGCTGTACAGGGTACAGAGGCAGGTCACAAGGGCTTCCGGGGGATGCAGAGTCAGGCGGGTCATGGCTAGGCCCGCGGTCCCGGGTCTTGTTTGGGCTCGGTCCCCGGCACGCCACGGATGTCAGGCAGCAGGCAGCAGCTGGCCACGATGTCCAGGCGCTCGGCCAGCGCGCAGAGGTCCCCCCGCGCCAGGCGCACGCTGTGGGCGGCCGCCAACCCCGCCGTCTGGGCAGCCGCCAGCCTACCAGCCAGGGCAGCCACATCCCGGCCCGCCCGGCGGTACACGCCGCTCACGGCGGCTGCCACGTCGTGGTCCAGGCGCGCCTGGCTCTCCGCCAGCCGGAGCTGCAGCAGTGAGAGCGCAGGGGCGGCTGCTGGGGTCTCCTCGGTACCCCAGGCTTCCCCGGCCGTTTCTCGCTGCACCACGAGCGGAGGCAGGTCCCTCGGTGCGGCCGTCGGTTCCGGCTCCGTGTCCGAGTCGGTCTCCGCGGCCTCCCCGGCCACGCGTAGCCCGGTGGGGCGGCTGCGCGTTGGGCCCGAGGGTCCCAGGTACAGCTCCTCTTCCGACGAGGTTGCAGAAAGCTCTGAATCAGTCTCGGCCGCCTCCCCGCGCACCATCGTCTCAGGCCTCCGCAGCGGCCTTCGCCGACGACCCTGAGACGCCATGTCCCCGGGCTAGCGAGAACAAAGGCACGGCGTGAGAGGCGGGCGCCCGGCGGTAGTTAATAGGCGCAGTTTCTGGATTCCCTTGCCCTCCACTATCTTAGCAGATTCATCATCCCTGCTGGCAACAATCCGGGCTATTGGACCCCAGCCTCCCCGGTGTACTGATAGGGAACAGGACCAGTTTGATCAAGGCCGGAGCTCCCAGAATCCCAAACTGTCTTCTTTCCGATTTTGCCTCCTGACGGAGGCTACATCCGGAAGCACACAGTCTCCTCGAACCGCTCAGAAGGCAGTGCCAGGGTCACAGGAGTGACAGTCCAGCGGGACTCAGAAGGGTGCAGGGATAGTAGCGCTAACACCGAAGACCTTACCGGGTCTAGGAAGGAAGCAGCCAGTGGAAGGCGCTACCCAGCGGAAGTACGGAGTCTGTTCGGTGGAAGCCGCAACCAATAGGGCAGCAGTTTGGACCGGTGTTGGCCAATCATATCGGCCGCTCGGTTACCAACCGGGAAGCAAGCACTTAAGATTAACTTTGTGGGCGGGTGTGAAGAGTCGCGTGAATAGAGGTGCGACCAATAGAAAAGTGTTTTAGCTGGCGCTTCCGGGTTGTGCTACGAGGCGAGGAGGCAAACAGGGATTTTTAAAACAAGTTACGTCACATGTAGCCAGTGATTCGGCCAATGACTATGCTAGAGGATCCGAAAACTTGGAAGGCAATCTCCCAAGTTCATGAGCACACCACGTGAGTCCGGAAAGGAAGGCGGAGCTAGTCTGAAAAACCAATGAAAGCATAAGTAGGCGGGTTCACGTGCGCGCAGGAGGCGGAGCTAGTTCACCCGGGCCAATGAGAGCACAAAGCGCTGGGCCGTAGTTAAGCGCGCGAGGCAGACAAATGGTGGACGCCGTACTGTTCGAGTTTCTACACACGGAGATGGTGGCGGAGTTGTGGGCACACGAAGCCGACCCCGATCCCGGGCCCGGGGTGAGCACCAGGCTTCGTGCGCGGGAGGAGGAGGCGCGGATGGTGGCGGGAAGGCGCGGTCAAGGCCCCAGGGAGCACGGAGGGCGCGGCAGCGGTCGGGGTCGAACTCCTGCCCCGCCCCTGCCTCGCTGGGAGACCTGGGGCACTGACTTCCTCTTTTGTAAAGTGCGGGGGGCGGGGGGCGGGCAGCCGGGCTGGCATCGCTGATTACTTCTAGAATTGAACGAATAGCTCGAGGTGAGATCTGAGCTAAAAGCCTAACACAGAATAAGCGGGCAGTAATTATAGTGATTACTATTAAGGATGTGTACTGAGGACTTCTGGGTTGAATCCTGCCGTCGTCACTCCCTAGGTGTAAGAGCCAGTCTGTTTGTGCCTCTGTTTCTTCCCTTGTAAAACGAGCATCATAACAGCACCTAAGTGTCAGAATGGGACATTTATTCATTCAACACGTATTGAACGCCTGTTATATTCCAGGCACTGTTCGAGTGTTCTCGCAAAGCTTACATTTCAGTGGGGTTGTCAAACAATAAATAAAACATGCCACCAGCTAGTGGAAAGTTCTACAAAGAAAACTTAAGTAAAGTCAGGGAAGGAAAACGTATGGAGTGGTAGATGATGGAGGAGGGCATTTCAAAGGGAGAGAAGGGAGGAAGCAAGCCCCAGGGATAAGCATGCCAGGAAGAGGTGCGAAACCCCGAAGTAGGAGCATGCTTAGCACTTTGGAAGTTGGTCCTCATAAAGTACAAACGCCCTCAAGCTTTCAAGCTCTTAGCGCAAACATGGGAGCTCTTGGTGCAAACTCTGTTATCCAAGAAGAAAGGGGGCCGGGGAGAGTGGATGCTTAATAAATGGGGCCGTGCTCATTTTTTCTGTTATTATTCTTACTGTGATCATCATTGTGTATGTGCCAGACATTGTCATTGGCTTAGGTTTTCATCCCAGTTTAGGGGTCCTAAGGAGGCTATTGCATGTTATGATATCAACGTAGTTTCGTCAGAGTTCATTTAACACACGTTTAAATAAAACCTGCAAGGTGCTAGGCCCTACTGTTAGCATTGGGGTTAACTCAGTGAACCAGGCAAAAGCCCTTGCCCTCCTGTGGCTTATGTTGTAGTTGGGGGAGACAGGCAAACAAGCGAAAGGCCTAAAATGTATAGCACATTGGGAAAATGCGGTGCAGAAGGAAAAGCACGGGAGAGGGAGTGTGCATTGGCCCGTGTGTTGGAGACGGGGGTTGCAACGTCTCAGCGGCCCATCTGTCCTGTCTGGCAAGCCAGAAACTCAGTGGTCCCTGACACCGGCCGCTTCTCCATCACCTCCAGCCCTCAGCCAGGCCCTGCTCATTCTGTTGTCTAAATCTGCCTTGTCCAGGCTCCCTGCTCTTTGCCCCTGTACCAGCCTCCTCCCTCACCTTGCAGCTTATTCACCTGTCATAGTTTCACTGTGTTTCCACTTACGAATTCTTCCCATCTTGGCTGAAATGGCCCTTCTTCAGGGAAGCCTTCCCTGAGCCCCCAGAAGTCAAGTATCCTTGTTATGGTTTTGCAGCCCCCTCCCCATTTTTCCTTGGTAGCCCTCACCACTCTCAAGAAGTAGGTACCTGATTCATGTATTTGTATGACCCTTTGATTCACATCTGTCTCCTCTGTCAGACTGTGTGCTGTGTGGGCTGGGGTCAGGTCTGTGTTGATCACCAAATAGTAGGTATTTTGCACATAGTACGCCCTCTGCATGGATTTGTTGAGGGATTGGATGCAGCCCCTGTGCCGAGGAGTGTGGGGTGGGGACTGGGCTTCATTTAGCAGTGTGACCAAAACCAGCGCCTACCACGTGTGAGTGTTTCCCATGGTTTCACACCCGTGATGTTGCGGATCCCCCTAACCACGCCCGAGGGTGGCATGACCATGTCCCTTTGCAGATGAAGAGCAGAGGCTCTGATGGACAGAGTGCTCACCCTCAAGCCGCAGAGTCAGGAATGTAACTGGGCTTCCTGCTTCCAAAGTCTGTGCTATAAACCCAGCCTGCGCTTTCCAGAGTGCGTCCTCCCCGACACGCTCCTGGAGGATCTCAGTGGGTTCCTGTGGTCAGGCAAGTGTGGGAGGCACTGGGTTACTCAGGTTTGCTCCCCACAAGGCCCTCAGAGCACCCGAGTCCCAGCGGCCCTGTGCCTGCTGCCACTGACATTCCAATGCGGGGCCCCGCACCAGAGACTGCCGCAAAGCAGGACTGGGACGGGGCCTGGCCACCTTCGGAGAACTCCTGGGTGGTTCCAGGCTCGGCCAGGCCTGAGAATTCTGGCAGTGTCCCCACATCCCTTCGACCTGGGAGCCCCATTTTCCAGTGTCATGTCCTGGAAAACTCTTTTCTCTCGGTTCTCTTTCTTTTGCTCCCAGCCCCTCCTTTCTGTTCCTTCTCTTTGGTCTGTTCGAACCACACACAGGCCTCCTGTTTGTTGGGTACTGGTGGTGTCCCCAGCACCGGATGTGATCGGATTTCGTCCTCAGAACAGTCCGCCGGCGGGGGGACTGAGGTGCTGGCAAGGAAGGGTCTTTCCCGAGCCACACAGCCGTGGTCGGAGGCAAAAGCAAGGCTCAGGCTTTGAGCCCCAAACTCGTTGGTGGCATCCGGTCTGCCCATCAGCTGCAGAACTCTGTGAGGACAGGGATGGTGGCTCGTCCACCTCTGTCCGCGTGGCACCGTCATTCTTTCGTGATCTCTGTGTCCCGCCTGGTTGTTTGTGGCTGCTGAATGGAATCTCCTGACTGGTTACAGGTGGAATGGAAGAGCCAGGAGGTCAAAGGGCCTTTGTTCCCAAAGCAGGAACAACTCAGGGAGGAGGAGGTTGTGGTTTCTCCGCCTCAGAAGCCTTTAAAGATAAAGAGAGCCTGTGGGCAAAGGCGTGAATTCCTGTGAAAGCAGGTCGTGAGCTGTCCCCTACTGCTGTGAGTGCTGGCCTGCCTGGTGGCCCCGTGAGTGCCCAAGCCGGCCCCTTCTCTGTGCAGTGCCTGTGGTCCATATAGTAGCTCTCAGTTCCGGGCCACCGCCTTCGAAACCCACTGGGTCCCAGGAACCTGGCAGTGCCCTGCAGGGAGTTCAGCGCATCTGAGATGGGGCGTAGCTGCGGGGTCTGGGAGTGCCTGCTGGGGAACTGGGGCTCTGACCTGGGGGCCTGGGAGCCATAGGGGGCTTACACTGAGGTGTGCTGGGCTCAAGCTTGTCCCCTCTCCCAGTGGTATTTATTTTTGGAGAGGGGAAGGGAGGGAGAAAGAGAGGAAAGGAACATTAACGTGTGGTTGCCTCCCATGTGCTTTCTACTGAGGACCTGGCCTGCAGCCCAGACTTGTGCCCTGGCTGGGAATTGAACCTGCCACCCTTTGGTTCCCAGGCCGACACTCAATCCACTGAGCAACACCAGCCAGTGCTCCCAGTGGTTTTTTTAGACAGGAACCTGAGCCCTGGCTGGGTGGTGCAGTTGGTAGGAGCGTCCTGTACCCCAAAGGTTTCAGGTTCGATTCCCAGTTGGGGCGCGTGCTGGAGGCAACTGATCAATGTTTCTCTTTTGCATTGATGTCTCTCCCCACTTCCTTATCTCTCTAAAATCAATAAATATATATCCTCAGATGAGGATCAAAAATAAAACAACACGGGAACCTGGACTGCTCTTCCCTGGCCCTCTGCCTGGGTCCGCACAGGCTGGCCCCACAGGTGGGAGCTGGGGGCCAGGGCTGGACCTCACAGGCAACCAGGGTCCTGGCAGGTGAAGAGACAGGAGGCAGCCGGGCACACAGCCCCAGCCCGACTCCCGCCTGCTTCATTCTGGAAGGTTCTGACTGTCCTCCCAGTGAAGCGGTCAGGCTGGGACGGGACTGGATGGGCCGGGGGTTTGGTTTGCTGCCTTCCCTTCGTGCCGCTTGGAGCCTTGGCCCTGCGCAGAGTGAGCCCCTTCAGCCCAGCGCGCTCCCCTCCCCGCCCTCGGATCGTTTCTCTTCCCGCCTAGTCCCACACGCCTAGTCCCACGCGGGTCTTCCTCTTCCGGCGCTCAGAGGAGCCTGAATCTCTCCCACGCGTCTCACAGCCTCTCCCTCATTTCTTCTGCTTCAGGTTTTTTCTGGACAATCCCAGACGCTTTATGTACCTTGCAGATGTGTCTCTTTTTCAGCTCCCTTGTTAACAGGCGTTTCTGTGGGCTGCCATCTCTCTCATTTCCAGGAACTCCCCTTTGACTGTCCCTTCCTCCTCGCTGGCTGCTGCCTTGGCGTGACAGTGATGAGCCGATGAGGCCGCTCTGAGGGTTCCCCTCTGGTCCTGATCGTCCGGTTTCCTCTCGGGGGGCTGTTGTGTAAACTGGCCTGCGTGGGCGTGGGAGCCCAGACGCCCCTGGCTCTGGGTGGGTTCCAGAGGGTTCGCCGAATGGGAGAGCCTGCCTTGCCCTCCCTGGGCATAACGCTCACCCCCGAGGGCGGAACCTCACGCTGAGTCCTAAGTCTGGGACAGGTTGTGTGACACAGGCTGGTGAGTAGGCTTCCGCTTCCTTCCCCCTCCACCCTCTCTTCCTTGTCTCCTGCTCATCCTCACCCCTCCCCTCCCCTCCCCACTGTCTTCCCCCTTCCTTTCCCATTCTTCTCCAGATCCCCCCACGCCCAGTCTTTTCAACTCTGCAGACACTTAATTGGTCCCTGTGGGGGGGCCAGCAGTAATGACAGCTAGGGAGAGAGCTGTCACAACACCACTGTGAGGCGAGGACACCAGTCAGCCCCACTTCACTGGGGAAACAGGCCCAGGGCCGGGAGAGGCTTTGCCCAGCACCACCCGTCCTGTAAGGGGCGGAGCCAGAATTCCATCCCAGGCCGTCTGAAGCTCACTGAAGGGAAGCAAACTGTGGGAAGCTTTCTGAACCTCCCCCCAGCCCCAGCCCCAGCCCCAGCCCCACCCCCCAGCCTGGCTGCGGACTCTGCTGACTCTCCGGCCATCTCCTCTCCGGGCTGCTGTCCCAGGTGGGTCTGAGGTGCCTTCCCACCCGCTCCCTCCCGTGCTCCAGTCTTCCTGCAGACTCTGGGTGGATACGCGGCCACCGCCCCGCAGAGGGCCCGCCCCGAGGTTGCAGCAGTTCCCTTGTGCTCCCCGCTAGGGCGCCAGGTCCTCCAGGGCAGGGACTGTGTCATCCTCCATCTGTCCTGAAGCCTTTGTCACACACAGGAGAACAGACCCGCCACACCCTGGTCTGCTGGGGCCGCCTCCCCTGCCCCCACCTCCCGTCACTGTCCCCGCTGTGAACAGTGGCCTAAATTCCATTCTCCCTGCTTTTTCTTGCCCTCTGGCCTTTGCACGCACCCTCAAAACCCGAGAGTCCTGGGTCCCCCCGTCACGCTGGCAGCCCTTGGGCCGTGAGGTGCCGGCCCCTGCCTGCTCCAGCAGCTCACTTCTAGAAGGGAGGTGACACAGGAGGGCAGTGTTCCGGCAGCTGAGGTGCATCGCCCCAGAACAGAGCGTCTCCTTCGTAGGGCTGCCCTCCAGCCAGGGCCTGTCCCCTGGGCTGACTGGCACCGAGCCTGTGGCTGGCCGTGGTGGTAACGCCCCCCAAGCCCAACTTGGAGCGCCCAGATCACCCGCCCCTTTACTCCCTGAGGACCCTGGAGAAGGGTCCTGTCAACCCTGTCCTCTTTACACACAAGGAAACTGAGGCATGGGGCAGTTGACTGCTGTCTAGCCCCACAGCTGGTCGGGGTAGGGGCTGATCCTCACTGGGCACCTGCCCCGCTTGGTGTCCCTCACAGGCCCAGCTCATCTCCCAGTGTCACCAGGCCCCGCCTTCCCCATATGGCTGCCCTGTGGGGCGGCCGTACCAGGGAGCGAGCCCCTGCTCCGGGTGGGTCTGAGGTGCCTTCCCACCCGGGCCCGGTTCCCTCAGGTGGAGCAGAGTGGTGGGCAACAGCCGGCATGCCCGGTGGCCTGGCTGAGGAGAGGGCACCTGGCTTGGAAACTCGGGTGGCCTCTGCTCGGGCCCCCCCCTGCCAGGCAGGCCTTGGTCCTCGCCACCCCCCGAGGGCCCGGACAGCTGTGGTGTCCCGGCCACCCACCCCTCCGGCCATCTGGGCTTGGGAGACAGACCTGCCCAGGTTTGAAAGACCTGAGGCCGAGGGTGCCTGGGGCAAGGCTCCCCTCGCCCCTCTGAGCCTGTCGTCCGGTGTGAAATTCAGCCCCCGGCATGAGGTCGGTGCAGCTGAGTGGGAGGATACGGCAGACGTAACGCCCGCCAGGGTGTGGCTGGCAGGGCGATGATACGGGTGCGACCACTCAGGTTTCAATTCGAACATGTCCCCTAACGTGTCCCATGGTGTGCTCGAGCGTGACGTTGTTATGTCACAGAGTCGTACCTTGTGGTTTTGTAATAAAAGGGGGCGTTACCGGGGCCAGGCCCTCTGTAAAGAACCTGCAGTGGTGCGTGTGTGGGCCCGCCCTTCACTAGGTCAGCGTCTTTCTGAAGCACCTCCCTCCCGGGTGCCAGGGCCTGTGTGGGCTGCTGAGGGCCGGCCTGGGTCCCCAGCCTTGCAGAGCCGTGTCCCCACTCAGGGACGGTGCAGCGTGGCGGCCCTGGGATGGCAGGCTGCCCTGGGTGGGCAATGTGGGAGGCGGATGGAGGGATGGCGGGCCCCAGCAGGCTGCCTGGAGCCTGCCGAGGAGGCCTGGACATCATCTCAGGCTGGATCTCGGCAGAAGAAGCCCATTCGGCATGCAGTGGGCTCCGCGGTCACAGGGGCTGGAGAGAAGGCTGTAGCGGTCATTCCCAAGGGAAGGTGCTGGTGGAGGGGAGGTGCCTGGGCACTGCAGCCCCCTGAGGGGGCTGGGGCCTCCGCCCCTGAGCTTGGGGCCACAGGCCGTCCTGGTATTTCTGATGCCCCAACCTGGACCTCCCTCTGTGGATGAAAAGGGGCCACGTACGACGCCTGAGAAACTCAGGGGAGGCCTGCATGTCAGCCTTAGAGGCTCAGAGACCTGCAGTGACCACACAGGAGGGTCTGAATATACATGTTCCCAATAGGAAGCCGGTGACAGCGAGTAGTCACGCCCTCCAGGCCTGCCGAGGCCTCGCCAAGGGTCAGTCTTTGGAGTAACCCGAGGTTTCCACAGTCCTGGGTCCCTCGGGGGCTCCAGAGCGGGGCCCAGAACCCCTCCCTGTCACCTCGTGGCCCAGACAGCACCTCTGTGTGCTGTAAGTGTTGACCGTCACCCATCCTGTGCCCGCCAGTGTGAGAAGTGTGTGTCTCTGCTTTGCTTTCTGTCCGGTCTCGGAGATTCCAGTCCCCCCTGCCCCTAAGTCTTCCACCCACGGATCTCACGCACCCCGCCCCCCGCCTCCTCCTTTGATTCTAACGTGTGAGAGAAGCTGCAGAAACTCCAGAGCGTTCTCTCTGCCGGTTGAGATGTAGCTTCCCAGCAATTGTCAGTTTGGAACAAACAAACTAGAAAAGTCTCCGAAGGTTGGGATGCCTCCCCCGCCCTCTCCTGCTCACCCAAATGCAAATTGGGAGACTTCGCCCCTCCAGCTGCTCCGCACCCCTCCCCTTCCCTCCCAGCGCTAGGCCTCTCCCGCTGTGGGACCCCTGGCCTGCCCTCCCCTCTGGAGTGCCACCGCCTTTCCACAGCACCCAGGGGAGCAGCTCCCTCCCCAGAGCCCCTCTGTGTCCTTCAGGCTTGGTGGCTGACACTTTAGGACCTGAGGATGATCCTCAGGACCCTCACAGCCCTCTGCTGGCCGGGCCAGGCTCAGGCCGTGCTGCCACAGGAGCCCTTGACAAGTTGCCGTGACTCCCAGGGTATCGGGAGCACTGCCCCCCAGGGAGCTGCGCCCACAATGAGTGATGGGTGCTCCAGGGAAGAGCTGGCGTGCGGGGAAGGCTGAGTGTGGGGGATGCCCCTGTGTTTCCTGGCGCAAGGGAGAGCTGGCCCTGAGGGCTGCTGGGACCCACAGAGGGGCAGTGCCAGCCTGCCAACCCGGAGGCCGGAGCCTGTCCTGGCTGGGCGGTGCTGAGGCGGGGAAGTCCCCGTGCGGCCGCTACACTGGGTGGCTCCCGCTGGAGGTGGCCGAGCACCCGAGCTTCTTCCCTGGCCTTCTAGGAACAGAAGATGAACCTGCTGGTGCTGGAGAGCATGGGCTTCCGTGTGGGCCAAGCCCTGGGCGAGAGGTGAGGGCCGGCCCTTCCTGGGCCTTCCTGCTCAGCTGGACCTGAGGTGGGGGCGGCATGGTTCTAGGAGGGAACCCAGCTGGCTTCCCCTCCCCGCCCTGGCCTGGCCTGACCCCAGCCTCTGCCACTGCCCCCTAGGCTGCCCCGGGAGACGCTGGCCCTCAGGGAGGAGCTGGACGTCCTTAAGTTCCTGTGCAAAGACCTGTGGGTGGCCGTGTTTCAAAAGCAGATGGACAGCCTCCGCACCAACCACCAGGTGTGTGCCCTGCCCAGTGGCCGGCTCCCTGCTGCGGACGGAGCTCCTGGGGAGGTTGCAATAGGGCGTTGAAGCTATTTGCAGAGTCTCCATGAGCCTCCCAGGATGAGGCCCCCAAGCTGGCAGAAGGCAGTCTCTCCCTCGGTGACACCGCCTGTCCCAGCCTGGTCCCATTAGGTGTCTACGCTCTGTCGGCCTGCTGCTTCTCACCACAGTGGGGGGCAGGAACTGGTCTGCTTTTTACCCCAGAAGTCGCCCAGCCAGAGAGAGGGGCAGGACCAGCACCCCCCTGCACCCCCCCCACTCTGGGCCCAGGAAGCCCGTGGACCCTTCTGCAGCGCTGGAGGGCGGGGCCCTGGCTGCGGGGGTTTTGAGGGATGGCTCCTAGACATCCTGGCTTCCCCTCCCCCCACCGCAAAGGCCCAGGCCTTGCCCCAGCACCCACAGGCTCTGTTCTGTCCCCAGGGGACCTACGTCCTGCAGGACAGCAGCTTCCCCCTGCTCATCCGGATGGCCTCGGGCCTGCAGTACGTGGAGGAAGCACCCAAGGTAGTGGGGCGCTGGGACACACCCCCAACTCATTTCCCCTGCTCCCTTGGCCCTCTCCCCAGGCCTGGGGTCGGCCTCCTCCCTTTCCCCCAGTGACCTCTGCCACCCGCCCCCAGTTCCTGGCCTTCACCTGCGGCCTCCTCCGAGGCACCCTCAGCACACTGGGCATCAAGAGCCTGGTCACCGCCTCCGTGGTAGCCCTGCCAGCCTGTGAGTTGTGGGCGTGGGGGGTACCCCTGCCTTCCCCGAGTGGTGGGGGCTCTACGCTCCCCTGTCCTTACTCTGTGGGCTGGGCCCCAGAGCCCCAGTTTTCAGGTAGGGAATTTGAGCCCCCGAGAGCTTAAGTCACGTGCCAGGCCACACAGTGGGCACAGCCTACCTGTGCCCCTGGCCCCTGAGGTCCCCCAGCCAGCTTCCCCGGCGTGCGCCAGACCGAAGGAGTGAAGCCCCGGTCGAGTGGTCTCGGGTGTTCTTCCCGGCACGAGAACCCAGGAAGGCGTGGAAGTCACACAAGTGGGGGCTCCAAAGGCAGCCAGACCCCATGGGACCCGCAGCCTGTGTGCAGGGCTGTGCTGACCCGAGGGCCCTCCACCAGACAGGCCCCCGAGCCAGCCTGCCTGGCTGCTTGGGCGCAGCCTGCACCACAGGTGTTTTTTCCTCTGCCAGGCCCCCAGGTGCACGTGGTTAGGGCCTGAGCCACACATGCCATGGAAGCCTGTGCCAGGCCCTCCCCTGCATGTATGGCCTCCATGCCCCAGTCACACACGGCCTGGGACGTGGGCCAGGTGGGAGGGAGCATCGCCCACTCTGCACAGCAGGGCAGCCCAGCCTGTTGATGCAGGGCCTGAGCAGTCAGGGGGCTTCCTGCCTCCCCTCCGATCCGAGCCTCAGGCTAAAGCTGGCCCTTCTCTTCCAGGCAGGTTCCAGGTGGTGGTCCAGAGATCCTGAGGGGTCCGGGCCCACGGCCCCCGCCGGGTCTCACCCAGGGCTGCCAGGGAACCCCCAGCCCTGGGGATGGCAAGCAGGGGAGGCGGGGGCATCTGGGGCAGGGTGGTCCCAGCCACCCTGGGGCCTGGTGTGGAGAGATCCAGGTCAGGCACATCACTCACTCAGCAGTGCAGAAGCTCAATAAAGGTTCTATCTGGAGACGAGTTCCAAGTGGCAGGTGGCACCTGCAAAGTGACTGTCACTCGGCCTGCAGGGGTGGAGGCCGAGCAGCCCTCATCACCCCCCTTTCTGGGCCCCCCTCCGCCCCCAGTTCTGAGTGTCGGAGCTTGCACATCTGTCAGTGGGAGGGCGGCCCCCATCTCGGCAACCCCTCCTTGGTCAGCACGCCCTTGGCCACAGAACAGACCCCCCGAGGGGGACAGCCGGGGGTGGACGTAGACAGAAGTGCGGGGGCAGGCCAGACACCTTCATTTCCGCCCCCCCCCCCCCACACACACACACTACTTCCACGTGCCTGACAAACCAAAGGCATACAAAGGGCAACGGGTCCTGCCCTCCTGCGCTGCCCCCGCCCTCCTTGACACTTGGAACAGCTGTGGCATCACATACCTGAATTGCTGGGCTCTGCTGCCCGCTGCCCAATGTGGGCATGGGACGCGGAAGGGGTCTCTTGTTTAAAACATCCCCGGAGCGCGGGGCCCCTCCACCCATGCAGAGTCGCGCAGGCACGCTGCTGGCCCCGCCCCGGCCCACACGCGAGCGCGCATTCCCTGGCCTGCCTCCACACCTTTGCACGCGCTGGGCCGCCCTGCCCTCCGCTGCCGCCACGGTCCTCGGCTCCCTGGGGAACCACAATTATTCAGCTGAACCATGTGTGTGGATGCGCCAGAGAGGCGACTGGCCCAGGCCTGCCTCTAAGAAGCTTAGGGGTTCACCCAGGAGCGCCCACACACACAGGCTCGCCCCCCCATTGGGACAGCGTGCAAAGCTGGAGGGCAGGGAGGAGCAACTTGAGGGCCTGGGAACAGAGGGACGGCCAGGCCCTGGAGAAGGGCAGGGTCCATGTTTGGTCACCCTGGAGTGGGGGGGCACCCTGCAGGGCAGGCGGGTATCCTCTGTCCTTGACTCCGCTGTCCTGGGCGCTGTTCCGCGATTGCCTCCCCATCCCCTCCAGGTCCCCAGAGTCCCCGGCAGCCACTGTTCGGTAGCGCAGGGAGCAGGACCCTGGAGAGCAGGGGGCACCACAGTACCAGGCCCCTCTTGTCTAGCTTCAGCCTCACATCTGGAAGAATGTCTTCAGGGGACCCCCCTACACACACACACACACACAAACCTACCAGCTGGCAGGAGGCAGAGCCCTGGCCCGAGCCACTGAGCCTACTTTCAAAGCCCCGCCGCGTGACCCCGAGAAGGACTTCACAGCAAAGCGCGCATCCCAACCCCTGCCAGGCGTGATGGGCAGGAATGGGGCGAGTGCAGGGAGGCGTGCACGCCGAGTGGGGCCCCCGCAAGCCTCCACAGCGTGCGTCGTCGTCGTGGCTGTCATTACGGGAGAGGCATTTAAAGCAGCCCGGAAAATGGGTCAGTCAGTCCCCAGCATGTGCGCTGCTGTCATTGTGATGTGCCCCGCTCTGCCCTGGGGACTCCTCCCGACAGCTGCCGGAGGTAGGCGCCAACTCCGGCCCACTCAGCAATGAGGAAGCCGAGGCGCAGAGAGGTGAAGTCACTCGCCCAAGGTCACACAGCTGGACCCTGGAGGAACTGGCATCTGAATCCAGGATTGCGCCTCGGCTTGGCCTGGCTTCCTCCCTCTCCACAACGGAAATGCCCAGGGCTGGCCCCACGCAGGCAGCACTGTGGCAAGCCATCCCCATCCCTGGCCTCAGGTACGGTCCCCACGGTCCTCGAGAGCAGAGAGCACCGGGACAGGGCGGGCGCGCTGGGGGAGGGGGTGGGGCCACTGGGCGGGCAAACCGGTCGGGCCGCTCAGTCCCCGCCTCCTGGCCTCTCACCAGTTTGGCGGCGGGGGCCGGCACAGCGTGCGGTGGCCGGGCAGGGAGCTGCCATCAGGTACAGGGGACCCCAGGTCGGGGGGACAGCGGGCAGGGTCCCCGAACCCTCATAGAGCCCCAATTTCCTCCGCCCACCCCCAACCAGCATCCCTCCCTCACTTCTGCTCTCGTGGCCTCACAGTTTAAAGCCACGGCGCCCCATCTCTCCCTGAGTTTGCTGAGCCTCTGCCCAGATGGAGCCTCCCCCTTGCATTTGCTCCCCCGGAACTCCCCTCCCTTCAGTCCCTCGTTCAGTCTCTAGGGGACCCAGCCCCGGCTTCACCCATCCCGTGCTCCCACCCTGCCCCTCTCGGGGCACCGGGTTCTCCTCCTTCAGCTGGCACCAGCTCCCACCTCCCATGGCACGTACCCCATGCCCAGTTCTCCCCTAATTTTTCCCAGCCCCCCACCAGCTCCCAAGGTTCTCCAGCCTATATCTGCTCAGCACCCTCCATGGTCCTGGCCTCTCGGAGACACCCAGGGCCTCCCAAACACCCCATCGCCCCACCTTTGGAAGTCTCACCCACCCCCAATCAGCCCCCAACTCCCCCAACCCCGCTCTGTCCTCCTCGGTCTGGCAATCCCTCCCCCAGTCCCGACCTCTCGCTTTCCCTCCGAAGAGCCCCTCCACCGGGTGACCTGGGTGACCTGGGACCCAGCGTCTGGGACAGGTCCCTCACCTGCCCTAGGTCACAGGTGGCTGTCCCGGAAGCGCGGTCTTGCTGCCGCTGCCCACAGGGGCCAGGCGCTTCACACATCCTCTCCGCCCCGGAGCCAGCCCCCCGCCGCCATGCACCAGCACTACACCGTCCACGCCACCAAGGGCATGCTGCCCCCCCGGGGCTGCCCCGAGAGCTACTTCTTGGACCCGGAGTTGGGGCACAAAAAAGGTAGGGGTTCGGTTTGGAGGTGGGGCCTGGCAGGGAGAAGGGGGGCTGCGGAGCGGATGGTGGAGTGGGAGAAGCTCAGGCCCCAGGAGAGAAGCTGCCTCCACTCCCCTGTAGAGGCTCCTGTGGGTGGGGTGGGGGTGGCGGCAGGGGCACCACAGACCTCGGGGCTCCAAGCTGGGAGCCTGGGCTGGGGGCGTCAGCAGAGGAGGCCCGCCTGGCCCGCCCTTTCCCCCAGCGTGGGAAGGATGCTCACACCCCAAATCACCAGGCCCGCGGGCACCGCCTAGAGGGGCTGTGTGGTGGGAGGGGGAGAGAGACCTCCCACAACTGAATGTGAATGTGGTGGGGACCAGCCTCCTGGGGTGACCTGTCCCCTTCCCAGGGCGGCCCCCTTCTCACCAGCCTGGCTGGAGCCTGGGTGCCAGGCCCCCATCCCGCCCCCCTCTCCGTCTTACCTGTCCCCTCTCCACGGCCATCTCCCGCCACTCTGGCCTCCTCCGGACCAACCGGGGGCCAGTTCCTCATGGCTTCCTGTTACCCCACCGGGGGACCCTCAGGGACCGAGGAGTGTGGAGCGGCAGGGGCTCTGGAGTTCAGCCCCTCATCCAGCTAAAGCCCCGGCCCCTGCACCTGTTCTGTCCCCGACCCACGGGGACACAGAGGGCACACCCCCTCTTCATTGCCTCGCCGATGTCTCCTGGGCCTTGGCTGGAAATCAGCGCCCCCTCTATCTGAAGACCCCGCCTGGTTCCCTCCAGTGGCCCAGGGCTCAGGGGCCTGGGTCCAGTCACCCCCACTTCCTTCCTTCCAGGACGCTGTCACCAGTGGTGCCATGACCCAGCGGCCTACAGGCCCTGTCCGCAGCCCTCCCAGGTGCGGTCACAGCTGGTCTACCACAGCCAGCAGGGGGTTGTCGGGGGCTGTCGCCGGGGCCCCCAGCCCCCTCTCCTGCAGCAGCAGCAGCAGCAGCAGCGGCAGCAGCAGCAACAGTGGCAGCCCCAGCCCTCAGCCCCCAGCCCCCTGCGGCAGCGTCTCTGCCCTGGTCCCAGCACCCAGAAGGGGGCGCCTCCAACCACCACTGCCCCCCTGGGACCAGCCTGCATCCCCCAGCCGCCCACTGCACCCACCTCAGCGGCACCCGCCGTGACCAGCAGCTGCCCAGCCCTGCCCTCCACAACTGGCACCGTTGCGAAGCCCGGCAGGCCCACCATCACCCAGTCCCTGAATGCCCCAGGGGCAGCCTGTGGCCCCTTCACCTCCTACAGCTCCGGTGCTCACCCTGCCTGCCCTGGGGCTCTGTCCCTGCCGCCTCTCTTCCCGCCTGGGCCTGGGACCTGCCCCACCCCCCTCCCTCTGGTCCCTGTCTGCAAGGGCGCTCATCCCTGACCCTGGGCCTCCGGCAGCCACTCTGCTTCACCTGTTGGGATCTGAGGCTTCCAGGCTGGGCCTGTCCATGGTGCCTCTGTCTTGGGCCGGCCGGCGAGGGCCCAGCCGACTCCTTGGCTGACTCCCTTGCTCTGCTTTGTGTCTCCCTGGCACTCCCTCCCTGGTCCAGCCGGCCAGAGAGGGCGCAGGGCAGGGGTGAGGGGCTTGCTGGCCAGCTCTGGTGTGGGGCGGACGGTCAAGCGAGCAGCTGCAGCAGGAGGTAGGGAGTGGCCAGGGTGGGGGGAACGGAGAGAGCCACGCAGCGATGGGAGGGGTCCAGCCATTCATTACTGATTCATCGATTCATTCGCTGGCTAGGTATTGAGCCCCTGAGAGGGTACCAGGCTCTGCTCCAGGGGGGAGGGGGTGCGCAGGGAGCAGGGCAGATGGACTGCTGCCCACTCAGAGCGCACGCAGCAGGGGCGGTGGGGGAGGCGCGCATAGGAGACAGCTGGGGAAACCCAGCAGGGAGAGCCGAGGGGGAGCCTGAGGTTTTCAAATTAAATAGCGGCGTCAGGGAGGCCTCATTAAGGTGACATGTGAGCAAAGACAGGGCAGTTCCCTTGAGTAAGTGGCCTCAGGATCAGCAAGTGCAGACTCAGGGGCAGCAAGGAGGTCAGTGTGGCCAGAGCGTGGGCAGCAAGGGGAGAGGGCGGGCGGCGCAGAGGGTGGACGGGGCGGGAGCTGACTGAGGATCCAGCAGGAGAGGGGACCGTGGGTGGCGAGGGCGGACGCCGGAGTCCAGGCCAGAGGTGCTGGTGGCCTGGCCTTGGACAGAGGGGGTGACACACAGCTGGCCGCCAGCTCTGGTGAGAGAACAGGGCGGTGGCCAAGCAGGGACTGGGGCTGCGGGTCAGGAGCCACTGTGTCACTGGAGCCTCTGGGTCACGAAGCTCAGCCACACAGACCAGTGGGGGTTGAACGAGGTGAGGTCACCCAGCCATAGGGTCAAAGGTGGGAGCAGATCCATCCCAGCTGACCCTTCGGCCGACCTTGTCCCACGTCCTCCTCTGACCCCCCCTGCTGAGCCCCCAGGCCCAGCCTGGGCCCTTGTCAAGGGAAGGGCCCTGTAGCCCACAGACCTCTGTGAAAGACAGAAACTATGACCCCCCCTCTGCACCCCACGACGGAGCCCTGCCTTTGTGGGGCCCCAGCTCCAGGTGCTTGAATGTGGTGCCAGGACCTAACCCCAAATCTGTGCCCGAAACAGCTGTTCCAGACCACAGCAGGGCGGAGGGCCCACCCCTGGCCAGGTCCTTCGGTCCCCCTGCCCCCAGTGTCTCTGCCGCCCACTCCTAGGGGCTGCGCTCTGCCTGGGTCCTGCAGAGGAGGGCGACAGGGCGGGGACCACAAGGCAGGTTTGCTGGGCGCAGGCAGGGCAGGCTCAGTGACTGTGGGCATGGGCTCAAGGGGAGGGAGGGAGGGAGGTCCTGGTCAGGGCGGACAAGAATCTGAGAGGAACCTGGTCATGGCAGCCCCGTCCACGTGGGAGCCAGGCTAACAGAGCAGGCGGGAGCTGATGCTCTGAGCGTGGAAAGCAGAGTCTCACGCACCCAAGGGCCTCAAGTCGCAAGAAAGGGTCACAGGATTTTCTCAGGGGGACACTGGGCTAGTGGCCGAGCCTGCTGACCGAAGTCCAGGGCAGCCAAGTTGTCACAGGTCTGTGGGCTGGGGCCAGAGGAGTCCGGCTTCCCAGCCTTCGCCTGGTGACTTGGGGGTCAGCTCATCCTGGGCAGCCGAGCGGGACGCACCTGGCCCTGCCCGCAGCCACAGAGACCTCCGTCCTCCTGAGGTGTGATCTGACTCGCCTCTGGGAGGGAATGCTGCTGCTGCAGAGAGGGGCCGAGAGCGGGCGCTCTGGACAGCGGGGGGCGGGGGGGGGGAGGAGGGTGGTGCCCGGCCAGCCTCATTGACTCGGTTTCCCCACCTCTACCCCCTCCCCAACACGGGCCCCCAGACATCCTGACAGAGGACGATGTCTACTGCAGCTGCCTGGCCAAGACCCTCTGCCACGTGCCCGTGCCTGTGACCGTGGGCTTCTACGCCCCCTTCGGCTGCCGCCTGCACCTCATGCTGGACAAGATCACCGGTGAGTGTCGGCAGGGAGGGCGCAGGAGACGGAGCCTCTGGCCCCTGCCCCAGCCCCAGGCTTCCCCAAGATCCACTCGCCCCTGAGGCCAGCCCACCCCCGTCCAGAAGCCCTAACCCAGCTCCAAGCAGGCGCCTCCTCCTCGCACCCACAGCCTGGGCCCCCGGGTCCCTGCTCCAGTCTCCGCTCTGGTCTCACCCCCTTCCCCGCCAAACCATCTCCAAGGATTCTTTCTAAAACACATGTCTATTCCCGTCGTTCTCCTGCTCAAAAGCTTCCTGTGGCTCCCCAGCACCCTAAGGTGGAAGGCTGCGTTCTTCAGAGAGGCTGCAGGCTCCTGCTCCCCTCCCCCACCCCAGACCCATCCCTTCTCTTCAGCTCTGGCCCGGGGCCTGGTGCCCGCACCGGCCCCACAGACAGGGGTTACCTGAAGACCTGGGCTGAGACCTGGTCAGGATCTGAGACAGCTGGGACCTGCTTCCAAACCCTGCTGGAGCTCAGCCCCCAGCCCCAGCTGTGGCCAGGAGGGCCGGAGGTGACTCACCTCCGTGTGCCCAGGCCTGGTGAGCACCTGCTGAACAAGCACATGCCTGCCCCGTGTTGTCCCAGCGCCACACACAGGGGCCTGGGAGGAGAGGAGATCGGCTCTAAGGAAAGAGAGAATGGCAATGGAGTGCCTGCTCTGTGCTAGGTGACTCAACACGTTCCCAGTCATTCATTCATTTATTCACTAACCTCATCACAGACAGATCCCGCCCCCAGCCTCTCACGATCCAGCCTTCAAACATTCCCCCAGCACTCCCTTGGTGACTGAGACAACCAGGGCCCCGTCCTTCAAGGGCTCACAGTTCAGACAGGGAGACACACCTGTCCCCAGTGAGAATTCAGAGTGGGTGAGAAGATGGGGAGGGAGGGTGTGGGGAGAGCCATGGGGTGCCTAATCCAGCAGGGAATCAGAGGGGGCTCCTTGGAGGAGGATACAGCTAAGCTGAGAGCTGGAGGAGGAGGAGGAGTAAGCCAGGAAAATCAGATCAAGGCTATACTCTTGCTGCCCATTTGTCTTCCTCAGAACCTTGTATCCTTTCACCCCCTGGAGCCTTCCATGCCCCTTCGCTTCCTCTTCCTCTGGGGGCTCTTCTTATGTACACCCCTGACCCTCAGCCTTCACCCTCAGGCCGTTCCCGGTCCAAGCCTGGCTCGAAGCCTTTCCTTCCACACTTGACGCACCTGCTCCAGCTGTTTCCCTCCCACCCGAACTACCAGGACCCGCCTCTGTCCTAGCCCCGCCCCCCAGAGGAGCCCAGCCCAGGTTGGAGTTCCGCCCTCGGCCCAAGCCCTACCCAGGTGGTCCCTCACCAACCACCTCGCCCTCCGTCCCCACAGCGCTGATGGAGCAGGAGGCGGCGCAGCGAGAGGCGGAGGAGCTGCAGCGTGTGCAGTGGCGGCCGCGGTCCGTGAGCCGCTGGGGCTTCCCTCAGCTGCTGTGGTACCTGGTGTTCATGCAGCCGATCATCACCGAGGTGCACCTGCGGCGCAAGAATGTGAAATTCCTCTTCATCCGCTTCAGCGCCTGGGAGTACGAGGGCACCGACAAGCTGTGGGCCGGCCTGGTGACCACGCTGTGCGAGGGCATTCGCCACCACTACGGCGCACTGCCCTTCAGTGTGTACTCGGTGCTGGGCAACAAGGCGACGACGATGAAGGGCTTCCGCCAGCGTGAGTGGCACTGCAGGCGCCGCGTGTGCCTGGCGCTGGTGGCCCTGCTGGTTGCGCTGGGTTTCGGCGTGGCCCTGCTCTACCTGTCGCTGGGTGCCCACGCGCTGAGCCACAGTAGCACCGACAACAACCTGCTGCGGGTGTTCGGCGGCGCAGCCACCACGCTGTCAGGCTCGGGCCTGCTCATGGCCGTGTACTCGGTGGGCAAGCACCTGTTCGTGAGCCAGCGCAAAAAGATCGAGCAGCTCGTGTCGCAGGAGAAGTTCGGCAGCCAGCTGGGTTTCATGGGCGAGGTGAAGAAGGAGGTGGAGCTGGTCACCGACTTCCTGTGCTTCATGGAGATCTACCAGCGGTGCCGGCTGCGCATCGTGCTCGAGATCACGGGGCTGGACACGTGCCGCTCGGAGAACGTGGTGGGCGTGCTCAATGCCATCAACACCCTGTTGTCCGACAGCCACGCACCCTTCATCTTCATCCTGGTGGTGGACCCCAGCATCATGGCCGCGTGCCTCGAGTGCGCCGGCTCCATGAAGGGCACGGCTGACAACGGCTACCTCTTCCTCAACCGCACCGTCACGCTGCCCTTCTCCGTGCCCATCATGGGCCGCCGCACCAAGCTGCAGTTCCTGCACGACGCCGTGCAGAGCCGCGACGACCTGTTGTACCGCGAGATGGCGCACCAGCTGCGGCCCGGGAGCCCGGGCGCCAACGAGGGCTCACAGCTGCTGGCGGTGGAGATGCAGGAAGGGGCCAGGGTCACACAGAGCCACATAGACGCCGAGGCCGCGCGCCGCATCCAAGAGGCACTCTACTGCCTGCATGACGACCGCGACTGCCTCTACGAGTACGTGGCCGACAACTTGGTATCCATGCGGCGCATCGTAAACACCGTGCCTATCACCGTGCGGCTGCTGCAGCAGCAGCAGCGGGACTTCGGTGGCCCCACGCCGCGCCAGGCCGTGGCCTGGGTTGTGCTCGCCAACCAGTGGCCCTGCCGCCTCAGCTGGGCGCTGCAGTGTCTAGAGGACCGGCAGCAGGCGGGGGGCGCCCCGGAGGCCCGCGCGCGACTCTGGGACGTGTTCCTCGATAACTGCCAGGAGCTGCACACCATGACCAAGCCGTTGCACAATGTGCTTGACCTGGATGGCGACCCCGAGCTCTTTCAGCGCTTCCTGAGCGAGGACTTCCCCTTCTCTGTGGCTGAGGCGCAGACCCTGCTGCGCTGTACAGTCAACCTGGACCACTCCATCCGCCGTCGTATGGGCCTCATCCGGGCTGTCAGCACACTAAAGCCGCCCAGCCCACCCAAATCCCCGGCGGGTGACGCCCCCCGCGCTGCCCACGGAGCCAACCATGCCTCCCGGGCTGACGACGCCGCTAATGGAGCTGACCAGAGCCCTGGGGCGGCCCGGTCAGGCCACTCTGCGGGGCGCAGCCCTGCGCAGACCAGCGGAGGCCGCCACTCCCGCAGCGAAACCCCTGACTCCCGAGCCAACCACACCTCCCAAGCTGCCCGCGGGGCCCACAGAGTCGACCAGAGCCCTGGGGCGGCCATGTCAGGCCACTCTGCTGGTCACAGCCCAGTGCAGGCCAGCGAAGCCCCCTATGTCCGCAGTGAAGTTCCCCACCCCCACAGGGAAGTCCCCCAGCCCCGCGGCGAAACCCCTCACTCCCAAGACTTGACACACCGGAGTAAGCCAAGACCAGTGGCTTGAGTACCCTGTGCTTTAGGGAATCCAACCCAGGGGTGCCTTGGATGAAGGATTCTGGGGCCAGCAGGGGGCAACAGCGCCCCTTCTACCTAGGTGAGGACACTTGTAGGGGACAAGGTCCAGGGTCCAGTGCTGGGAAGGAGGCTGGTGCTGGCTACATTCCCCCGGTGAGTGTGCGAGCTGGCAAGAGCTGTTGGCAGTAGCTGACAATAATACCAGGGTCAGAAAGAGGTGCCAAAGGACCACTAAGAAACTCAAGTTCAAGTGCAATAAACGAAGGTGTGAAAGCCTTTGATTGGTCTTTAGGCCCTGTTCTGCCAAGCCCATTTCCTGCCCAGGGAGTCAGCAGGTTAGCCGGCAGCCTTGAGGCTGGTGTCCCCAGAGCAGAGGGGGGCGGCGGGGGTGTGGGCGAGGCCCAGGCAGGCAGATGAAGGACGGATGTGTTGCCTCACGTTGACTGAGGTGATGCGGAGTGCCCAGGCCTCAGGGGATCCAGGTCCTTGTCCCCAGTCCCTAACCCCGCACCTCCGTGGGCAGGGCAAGAGCTGGCGTTTTTGAGGGCAGTGTCTGAGGTGACCTCAAGCGGGCTACTCCATTGCAGTGTGGCTCGGCCCCCAGCGTGATTCATTAATTAAGCCTCCCTGGCATCTCAACCAGCTAGGTGGGAAGCACCGCCTCCCTGGATAAGTAACTGTTCAGGGGAGGCTGCCTTAGGGCCACTTGATGAGCCCCTTGGTGAGGTCAGGGACATTGAGTACACCTAGGTCATAGAGCCAGGGCGAGGGGAGGGCCATCCTAGAGCTGGACTCTGCCTGTCTGGCACCACCTTCCCCTCCCATTGGTCAGACAGTGACCTAGGATGAGGTGTCACTCCTTAGGGCTGCTTCCTGTCCACTCCTCATTGGTCACATAGCCACACGCTCAGGCCCATGGTATGCCTGGCCCAGCTAGGGTGCGAGGGTGGGCCAGCAGGGCATGACTGCTGAGTCAAGGCCCTGAGGCCCAGAGGGAGCCCCAATTCTCAAAGCACCCACCCTCACGCCCTGCAGCCTGGTGGGAGTGTTGACCTCATTCCTTAGCTTCAAGGCTGGGTGCGACCCCCCAGGGCCCCTGGCCAGGAGTTGTGCCACGGTGGGTGCAGGGCAGAGCCGGCCGGAAACTGTGGCAGGAGATGCCAGGGCTGAGGTGCCACTTTTCACTCCTGGCGCGGCCAAGCCGGCAGAGTAACCTGGACCTGCTGGGAGAGGTTCCCAACAGCAGGGGGAGCCCGCCCACCAGTGAAGCCCCCTTGGAGAGGGACACACAGGTCCTCGTGACAGCATTAGATCAGCGTCTCTATAGACCTGCTATTGGAGCCACTATATGTCCCTCCCTTTTGCCTTTCTTAAGCCTTCCATATGACTTGGGCTTCTGTGGCTTACCATGCTGAGCACAGGCAGCAAACACGGGCTGCAGGAGCGTGGTGCTGCAGGGGGCGGGGCTGGGCATCCCCCCGGAGCAGGATCCCGGCCCCAGGAAAGAAGAAGCTGCAGCCCCGTCACATGGTGCAGAGCAGTGGCCAAACTCACCCATTTAGCTTACACTGTGTGCCTGGCAAAGCTAGAGTTTCAGGAGATGGTGAAAACACTAAACCAAACAGGGCATCGGAGTGGCTGTGGGTGCCCGAGCTGGCTCCCTGTGCGGCAGGACTCTCTACCCCCCTGGAGCTTCTGCTGGAACTCACACCCATGGGGCTCGTCCTCACTGGCAATAAGGTAGCGGAAGTGACGTGTGTCCCTTGCCCACCGGGGCAACAAGTGGGGGGTCATGGCACCGGTATCTTGGAGACCGGATACACGTCAGGCCAAGTGCAGACTCAAGTGTCTTCATGGAGCTGTAGTGATGTTGGGTGGCTGGGGGCAAAGGGAGCCCACCCCGTGACACAGGACTCCCCAAGTCAGAACACCAGGAGCCCCAAAGACTTGGTCTGCCTGTCTCCTGGGGCTTCATCGCAAAGTCCCACAAACTGGCTGAGAACAGAAACGTAATCTGTCACAGTGGAGGCTCAAAGTGTGAAACTGAGGTGTAAGCAGAGCCACGTGCCTTTGGAAACCTGCAGGGCGCCCCCCCGCCTCTGCCGGCTCCCAGCACTGTGCCAGCAGTCTGGTGTCCCTTGGCTTGTGGCTGCCATCACTCCAGTCGTCCATCTCCACATGGTCTTCCCTCTGTCCTCACATCATCTTCCTGCCCTGTCTATCTGTCTCTGTCCCCATTTTCCCCTCTTTTAAAAAAGTGTTATTTTGGAGAAGGGAAGGAAGGCAGAGAAACATCAGTGCGTAGTTGCCTCAAGCGCCACCTACTGGAAACCTGGCCAGCAACGCAGGCAGGTGCCCTAAGAATTACATCGGAGACCTTATGGTTCACAGGCTGGTGCTCAATCCACTGAGCCACACCAGCCAGGGCCCCATTTCCCCTTTTTATAAGGACACTAGTTACTGGACTAGAGCCTCTGGATTAATGTTAAATGAGTGTCACCTCATTTTAACACAACTGCCTCTGTAAAGACCTGTTTCCAAAGGTCCCACTCTGAGGTCCTGGGGGTGAGGACTTGCACATGGTTAGGTGTCGGGAGAGGTGGGGACACAGTTCAACCCTAAATGGCTGGAAAGATCAAATTTCTCAACCTCAGCTAAACTTAGTGCAAGAGCAGGGACAAGGCTGGGAACAGGCCCCTGGTCCCTGAGAGGCATCACACGAAGGACTGAGAAGCTGAGGTCCCCTGTCCCCCAGCCCAGCCCATTAGTCACCAGCCTGAAGGTGGTGGCAGGGGTCACAAAGGGGATGCGCGAGCCCCCACCATGCTGTGCTAAGGGCTGAAAAAGCCCCCGGGGGGGTTGCTTCTTGAGCAACAGCTGGAACTGACCACAGCTGGACTGAGATGAGGTGGGGGTGGTGTGGGCAGGTGGAAGAGGGGGCACTGGCTAGAGGACGCTGCTGCCCAGCACTCAGAACTAGGACCGTGTCTGTGGCCCCAGCTCCGTGGGGTGAGTGGGGCAGGTGCTAGGGGCCGGTGGCTGTGTGCACGGCTTCCCTGAGCCCTTCCCCCAAACCAGGACACACACGGCTGCCAATGACCACTGACAGCGGCCTAAAGACGCCCAGGCAGCTGGGGACCGATTCCTGAGTGCGAGCAGCAGCCGAGTGGCACCAGGGCTCCACGTCTGTAACACCCAGATTCTTTGGTCTTCCCACCGCCTCCCCTGCCCCGTGTCAGCCTCCCGTGCAGGAGAGAAGGGTGGGTGCAGAGGTCTCCCCCCACGGGTGGCTCTTTCCTTTTCTGAAGAGCGAAGCTCAGACTGCCCCCCAGTCCCCTGGCTGCACCCCCTGCCTGTCTGGCACCCAGGGGCTCCAGCGGCACTGGCTCAGGCCCTGAGGCACACCCCCGCCAGGATGGCCAGGGCCAGTGTGGACAGACTGGTGCCCTGCTCTCCTGGAGCCACAGGTGACCGGGAAGGGAGTGACCAGTGGACCTGAGCACTGCACTGCCACCCTGGGAACCCAGAGCTGAAGCTGGAGCGCCCTTGGAACGTGTCCCCGAGGGAGGTGAGGGCTGGGGCATGGGAGCCCGCTGGGTTAGGTGCGTGTGTGGCCTTGGGCGCGAGGGGCGGCTTCCAGAGCTCCTCGGCCCGCTGTCCTCCCTCCCTGGGCCCAGAACCCGCCTCTTCCCCCTCCGCCCCGGCAGGGGCTCGAGCGCAGAACAGGCAGACGGTGGACCCAGCTCTGGTTTATTAGAAAAGGTGTGAACAGAGTTGCACCGACAGGAGTGGCCCCGCCCCACCCTCTGCCCGCCCCTGCCCCCACCTCCCCGGGCTGTAGTGCCTCTCAGGGGGCAGCTTCCAGTGGCCTGGACAGCAGGGTCTCCAGAACCCTGGCTGCTCCCCACGCAGCTCCCTGATAGATTTATTGCACTTAAGAAGAAGAAAGCTCTGATTCTCTGCTCCCATCCCCCACCCGCACCTGGCCCTCGCCCTGTCTGGGGCCGCTCCACCAAGTTCAACCACCACCACCGCCACGCACCGCCCCTCCCACGCCACGCCTTCTGCCCTGTCTGTGCCCGGGGTCTGGGGGCGGGGGCGCCACACCACCAGCAAGGGCTCCACAGGGTGAGCCGGCCTGGTGCGCCCCTCCAGGAAAGCCAGGGCTTTGGGGCTGGCGGCCTGGGAGACTCCTCCCCCTCCCATCCACTCTGGGCCCAGAGTCGGGTCTGGACACACAAATACAAGTGCTCAAGTCAGGCTGGGGAGGGCCGCTCCCTGGAGCTCCTGCTCCGTGTAGTGTAGCTGTGGGGGGCGGGGGTCCCCAGAAGGGCCCCCACCCCTGGCGTCCCCAGCTTCAGGAAGGCTGGGGGTGAGGGTGAGCAGATTCTCATGGCTCTGGCCTCGGTTCAGTTGAAGACCGACGGGAAAAAAAGGAACTTGGGAAGAAGAAAGGGGGCGCTGTCAGAGCTGGGGCCTGCACCGCCGCCCCCGGCCCCCTGGCCCCCGCCTCACCTAAAGTGTCACAGTGTCTCCTGCCCAGGTTCCTGACTGGCTTCCAGGAGCAGCTCCTCCAGCTCCTTCTCATTCTTGGAGCAGCTCAGCTCTGCAGGCGTTGGCCAGGCGGGTGGGACGGGTGACCCCAGTCAGGCAGGTGCAGAAGCCACCTGTCCCCACCAGCCCCGCCCAAGCTGGGCCCCCACCCCCAAGGAGAGCTCCCAGGACCCAGGGGAGGCAGGGTGGGGACCGAGGACCAAGTCCCACTCCTCCCTGTCCCTACAAGGCCACTTTAAAGAGGGAAGAGCAGAAGCCCACTCACAAGCAGGGTCCCACCCCGCCCCAGAGCTCCTCTCACCGTGCTCCAGGCCACAGCTGCCCGCCTTGGCCTCGGGCCCCGGGGGTGGCTCTGGGGGCAGTGCGAGGGCGAACTCCGGCTTCAGGCCATTGGGCAGCGGTGGCCCAGCCTGAGGCAGCTCTGGCTGTGGCTGAGGCTCAGATGACCCTGCGTCCCGAGCGCTGATGGCCTCAGCTGGCGATAGGGCGGGGGAGGCGGGAGGGGAGGATGAGGCTGGTGGGGGGGGAGGGCAAACAGGAGAGGCCGGCACGGGGGGCTCTGCCCTCTCGGGGGGGCTCTCCACCCGAGTCACCACGAACACTTTGTGGCCCCGGCCTGGGCTGGACACGGAGATGCGCTGCTCAGCAGGGGGGGAAGGGCTGCCTGGGGGGCTCGGGTCCCCAGGGCCCAGGGAGTCCGTGGGGGGCCCCAGAGCTGGGTGGGGGGCCACAGCCCTCTCCCCATCCTCCTCCTCCTCCCCATCGTCCCCCTCGGAGTCGGAGTCGGAGTCGGAGTCCAGGCCAGGCCCCGGGGCCGGAGCCCCGTTCTCCTGCGCCTCGGCGGCGGCGGGCTCATCCCCGGGCTCGTCGCCGGGCTCCACGTCGGGCTGGGGCCCGGTGACCGTGATCTCCGGCATGGAGGCCGACAGCTGCAGCCGCTGCTCCTGCTCCTCCTGCTCCCGGGCCAGCACGAAGTTGCGCTTGCAGCCGTTCTGGATCTCCGCGAGCAGCGCCTTCTGCGTCTCGATGAAGCTCTTCACCTGTGGGCAGAGAGGCCTGGCTAGGGCTCCGGGCCAGTCCCTGCGGTCGGGCCGCTGGGCCGGGCCACCCCCACCCTCGGGGCCCAGCACAGGCCCGCTCACCGCCTCCTTCTTGGGCTCGCGGTCCAGGTCCAGGCGCAGCAGGGAGTGGTTCACCTTGAGGGCCAACGACAGCGCCATGAGCCCGCCCGTCTTGATCTCGTTCTCCCGGAGGTCCAGTCTCAGGAGGCGGGGGCTCTCGGCGATGAACTCCGCCACTGCCACCGCGCCTGGGAGGGGGACCGCAGGGGCTGGCCACGAGCCCACGTCCAGCTGGCCGCCCACCGCCCAGGCCCACCCGGCCCCCTTCGCCCGCCCGAGCCCTACCCTCGCAGGTGAGCTTGGTGGAGGCCAGGCCGAGGCGCAGCACGCTGCGGTTGCCGATGAGACCGTTCTTGAGGTTGCGCACGCCCTCGTTGCCGATGGGGTTGTGGCCCAGGTTCAGCGTCTCCAGGCTCTGTGTGTGCGGCTGTGGGGGCAGTGCGGGTATGAGCAGGGGCCGGCCAGTCCACAGAGGAAGACCCGCGCGTGCCCCGTGGGCAGTGTGGCGGGGGCCTGGAGCCAGCACGCTCCTGCTTAGAGCTGAATCCCGTGTGGACCCAAAAGTCTCCCCAGGTGCCAGCTGACCTGTCCACTCCCCAAGCCCAGGCCTGCCCTCTGCTCCGGCCAGTAGGCGGCAGACTCTGGGCACAGGCCTAGCCCTGGGGAACTCTTCACCTGAGTTTGAGCCTTTGTCCCCTGTGGGCTTTAGACTCTGCGTGATAAACAGATCGAAGACTTGCTAAAGGTTTCCGGAAATGTTACCTGCCGGTGTAAGACATTTCCGCCTTGTGCAAAGCGCTGTGCTAGGCTATGGGGCTGGACTCAAAAACAGTGACAGAAGGGCACCTCCCCGCAGGGCAAAGGGTGCGGGCAGGGAGGGCAAGGCCGCGGGCGTGCTGGTGGGAAGGCGACCGCGCGGAGGACTGGGGGTGGGGCGCTGGTGGCGAGGACCCCGGCCCACTCACCAGCGTCATGCCCAGGAAGGCCATGCCCGTGTGCGTGAGCTGGTTGTTCCACAGCACCAAGGTCACCAGCCCCTTCTTCTGCTCCTTGAGGCCCTCGCAGATGTAGGCCAGACCTGGGGGAGGCCCACGGGCGAGTCCCGACTGTGATCCGGGCGCCTCCCCAGGAGATGTGGCTGTGGGAAGGCCGGCCACCCTCCGACCTCACCTGGGCCTGCCCAGCCCCCAGGCCCCAGCCCGGCCACCTCCTGCTGCACCACCCCTGCCTCGGGGCACCCACGGCTCCTCAATCCCCCCGGGCGGGAACACTCCTCCCTGTCCCCCAGACCTCTGCTCGGATGTCGCCCCCACCCCGGGACAGCCCCTGGCCAGCCGGCTCCGCCCACCGCTGCTGCCTCACTGTGCTCCAGGGCACACCTCACCCCCTGACAGACTCAGCACTTCACTAGTGTATCTCCGCTGCGTGCTTCCCGAGGGCAGAGGTCTCGCAGCCCAGAGCCTGGAGGCCACAGGCCGGGCAGCGGGCAGGTGGTCTGTAAACTCAGTGTCTGGGCCTGGCCGCCCCACTTGCTCACGCCCCTCCCCCTCCTTCACACAGAGGCCAGGGGACCCTGGTCAGGAGTGAACCAGTCACAGCGCCTCCCCCAGGAGAAAACAGAATTCCTCCTGCTGACAATTCCCCTTCTCCTCCCAACCCCTCCCGGCTCACCCCAGCTCTCCCCCTAAACGCCTGAGGACGCCTAAATCTCTCCTCACTCCAGGCCTGCACGCTTGCTGCCGACTGGGTCCTTTCCCAGGCACAAGCCCGTGGGCCCCTCTTAGCCTCCCCATCACCACCCGGACGCCCCTCCCTGTCCCTCGAAAGCCCAAAGTGGGCCTCTTACCCAACAGCCCCACCCCCTTTAGGGATCCTGCCCCAGACAGTGATTACCTTCACATCTGTTCGACATCTCACCTCATCCTACGTCTCCACTGAGCGGCCCCTCTGCCAGGACAGCCTCCCTGACCTGCCCCCCACCGCGGGCACCCCCCTGGGGCCCCGCAGCCTGGCCCACCCAGTCCAAGCCCTCACGGCCTGGGGCTGGTCTGCACTCCCCACAGGACTGGGAGCACGGTGGGTGTGGGGCGACTGCAGGAGGGGTGGGTGGACCTCACACACACCTGAGTCCAACACATGGTTGTTCCGGAGGTCCAGGATCTGCAGGGAACAGTTGAACTTGAGCAGGTTGCCCAGCTGGGCCGAGTCCTGCAGGCCATTGAGCTTGTTGTCGGCCAGGTACAGCTCCCGAAGGTTCATGTTCATCTTCAGGGCCGTGGCTGGGGGCAGGAGGGCTCGTGAGCAGCCCCGCCCAGGGGCCTGGCTGGCAGCCCCCGCCCCGAAGTGAGCCACCATCCCCACCCAGCACCTGGCTTGGGGCTCACCGAGCAGCATGAGGGGCCGCCCCGACAGGCTGGCATTCTCCAGGTGCAGCACCGCCAGGCTGCTGCGGATGCGCAGGGCGCGGGCCACAAAGGGCGCCGAGTGGTCCAGCAGGGGCGTGTTGCGGGCGTCCAGGTACTGCAGGCAGCTGGTCTGGTGCGGCAGGAGCAGGGCTAGGTCAGGGCCGTCGCAGCCCAGGCCCCAGGAGGTGGCAGGGCCATCTGGTTCTACAGCTGGAGAAACTGGCTGGGGTGGCGGGGACGGCCTGGTCTGGGAGCCTGCAGCTGAGCCTGGCACCCTGAAGGGCCGCTGCCCTGAGAAAGCGCCTGAACCCTCGTCTCTGTACCTGAGTCCCCCCTCCCCCGAGAGAGGCTGCGGGAGGGGGTGGGGGGCGCCCACCTTGCGCATCATGTGGGCCGCAGCCTGCCAGCCCCGGGTGCCAATGTGCTTGTTGAAGGAGATGTTGAGGTGGGTGGCCGACTCGTAGTACTCGATCATGTCGAAGAGGGCTGAGGCGCCCTGGGGGCGGAGACAGAGGAGTCAGCCGCAGGGGAGGGCAGGAGGCGGGGCTGACCCCCACCCTGCTCCCACACCTCTGGGTCCCGGGAAGCAGCTTCCCGTTTCCCAGCAGAGCCAGTCCGCTGTGTAACACGCAGTCCAGGACTGACATGCTGGGTGACCAGGACGGGCCCCTGGCACCCCTGACCTGAGCCTCTCTTCTCCAGGACCCCTCCCCCAGCTCTCCTGCGTCCTCTAGGCCTGCGGCCCAGCCTCCTGGGCCCCTGGTGACTTCCATGTCTGTGGAGGTAGCACACCGAGGCCTGGGTCAGGGAGGCAGCTTTCAGAAGCTTCCCACTCGCCCCTGCAGGCGCTGTGACGTGATGGGGACTTGGGGGAACGGAGGGACAGGACACCTCTGGAAAGGCTCCAGGTGGCCACAAATTTCCCTTCAAGCCTAACTCCCCAAGTCTCTCCCTTGTTAACAAAGCTCCTGCCTCGGGTGGGTTTGTGAGACCCCCTCCTCTGGGCCTCGACATTCTCCCCAGCCACTCTGGTCACACGGGAGATCTCCCTGTTCCATCCCTCCAGAAGCCCTGCCCAGCCTTCGTCCAAGGGGGTTCCCTCCTCCTGCAGTGCCCCGTCCCCCCCAAACCTCTAAGGAGCCCGGGAGCTCAGGAAGCAGATAAGGGCAGTGGCGGAGGCTGCTCACATCTTCGTCCAGGTTCGTCTGTTCCAGATCCACGACCTTGAACTGCAGGCGCTTGAAGACCTCTTCCAGGGCCTCGCAGGCCCTGTAGTCCAGCTTTTCACCTGGAAGGAGGGGGCACGCCAGGTGTGGGCGTGAACTCACCTCTGTGCGGTGGGGGGCTGCGTGCAAATGGGGGCAATGGAGCTAAGGGCCCTCCCCTCTCGCCTCCCCCCACCTCTCTTGGGCCCAGCTGCACCCAAGTTCTTCAGAGAGGGCCCGTGACCCCAGGCTGGCCCAGCCCCACATTCGGCCCCAGACCCACCTCCAGGAAAGCTAGGCCCCGCCCACCCAAGGTCCCGGCCCCACCCAGACACACACCTTTTAGGTCCAGGCAGTCGATACGGTGCCCGAGGTCCGTGAACTCCTGGCAAAGCAGAATGAGTGTCGGTTAGGGCAGGAAGCCCCTGCCACCCAGGCTGGACCCTGATGGCGGACGGGCAGCTCCATCTGGCTCTGCTGCTTCCGAGGCAAGGCGGTGCCCCAGGGTGGGGGTGGGCGGGCGCGCCACCTCAGAAAGCAGGGCGGCACCTGACCCCTACCCAGGACCTGCGGTGGAAGGGCCTGGCGCAGCCCCCTGTCCCCGCTGAGTGGAGACAGAGATGGGCCCCGGGGCCATGAGCGTTTGAGGCAGCGGGAACAGCCAGGGCGAGGCTGCGTAGCATGCTGGGGGCCGGGAAGGTGGACAGGTCCGCCCACACCAGGCCGGGCACCCAGCAAGTGCTCCGCAGAGAGAACTACAGCCACCAGACACTGCCGTCCCCCCAGCCCCTCCTGGTTCTGAGCGCCAGCCCCGCCCCACAGGTGCCGGGTTCCCCGCCGCCACGGGCACTAGCGCACGGGGCAGCCACGCACAGACAAAGGGCTCTGCCCCACCGAGGGCCAAGCGCTGTAAGCGGCAGGCCTGGTCTGAACCAGGCACCGAGCAGCCATCTTTCTCTGGACCTGAAAACAAGACCTTCCGGAATCCACCACAGAACCTGCAACCCAGGTGTGTGGGGGCTGCCCACAGCGGGAGCAGCGGCTCTGGAAACTCGGGACCTGGGGGCGAGCCGGAGGGCACTGCGGCTTCACCCGCTCAGCCAGGCCAGGGCCACGGGTGGCACCCTCTGGTCTGCACCTCGCAGGACAGCGACTACCCGCTGTCTGACAGGTGCCCGGGAGAGACCAGAGGACAAAACCCCAAGCTGTCAACAGCAGGGGCTCCTGAGGAATGGGACTTGGACAGGAAGAACTGGACTTTGCTTTTTATGTCTGGTATTGTGAGTTTTAAGAAATTAAAGACTATATGTATTGCTTTCGTAATTAAGGCTTTTAAGAGTAAATATTGTATACGTGGCTTTCTCCCTGGGGAACAGAATTTCTTTGGGGGGGGTAACAGATACTCAGAATTCTTACTTCACACAACTCTCTACTGCTTAAGTGTTCACGAGGAGCCTCATGACCTTCACAGCTGCAGGGAGGACTTCCCAAGATGAAGTACACAGGCCCTCGGATGGGCGGGCGGGCTGGGTGGCGGGAGAGCTTTCCCGAGTGCCCTCTCCCCCTCGGGCAGACAACAGAGGCTGGAAGACCGCCGGGAGGTGGGTGGGGTGGGGGGACAGCTTCATCCCAGGGCCTGGGGTGGACACCTCCCCCGCCTGGCCTACCTGGAGCTGCCTGAGGAGCTTGGGGATCTGCCTGCAGTTCAGCTTCTGGCAGGCCTGCTTGTAGGCGCCGATGACCTCGTCCACGGTCACGTTCTGGGCTGCGGGCACAGAGGACCCCGGCCTGTGACTCTCCACATTCTGAGGGCCCCCGCCCTCCTGGGCCTCTGCCAGTCCCCCGCCCCATCCACTCTCTGCATCCACTGTGAAATGCCCCTTCCGACAACCCACTGTGTTCTGCCGTCTGGTCAGGGGCTGGGTGCCCCCAAACCGAGTCACCCCCTGCCTCCCTCCCCATGGCTCCGTGAGCAATTTCACACGAAAAACAAAGAACCCGTATCACACAGTTTTCTACTTCTCAGCCGTCTCCGCCCCCCAGATGGGGGGGGGGGCGCCCGCAAGGGAGGGCTGGGGCCGGCCTGGTCCCCACGGTCCCCAGCACCGCCAGCCCAGGGCCAGCCCCACAGCCCGTGTTCAGTGTGTTTCTTCACGTGAGGGGATGGATCTGCACTCCGGCTCTGTGAGGATGAGCCCACGGGGTAGGGCCCCGGCCCAAGGCCACACAGCCACTAAGCGCCAGGGCGAGCTCCCAGCTGAGCCGCGCACTGCAGTGCCCCGTGGCCTCTGAGGGGCCCCCACTCCCGAAACACCCCGATGGCAAACCCTCCCTGCTGGCTGCCAGGGCTGGGGTTCCCCACAGGACGGGGGCAGGGAGAGCAGCCTTTGTGTCCGCACAGGTGTGACCTCCCTGGACACCCACTGAAAGTGGAGATGAGCAGCATGTGGCCTCTGAGGCTTCCGCAGCAGGCGCGAGGAGTCCGGGTCTGGGCCCGTGGCCGCACCGTGGAGCCCTGTCCGGAGGCACAGCACTGCTCCCCGGGCAGTGAGACACAGGCGCTGTTCCAGGTTCTGGCTGTTGGGTCGCGCCCTGGGGTGGCCAGGAGGACAGGAAGGAAGGGAAGGCTGGGCAGCGGAGGGACAGGGTCAGGCCTGGTGTAGAAAGCTCTGGAGGCCTCCAGGGGCCAGGAGGAGGAGCTCCGGCAGCCCTTCTCAGCCTCACCTCGCCCTGGCGCCGCAGGGGCCCGGCCCGTGGGGGCCAGCAGGAGCCCCAGCAGAGAGTCCAGGTGAGCGTCCCTGAGCAGACTCTCCCTCCAGCCAATGCTCTTGCTGGGGGCTGCACCCCGACCTCACCAGCCGCCACCCGGTCTCCTGCGGCAGGGGCCCGAGGTCAGGAAAGGGACGCTGCCTCCCTAGGGCCAGGCAGCTAGTGCAGGGCAGGGTGGGACACTGGTTCCAGAACTCTCTCTCCACTGTGCTGGGTGGGGCGGGGAGGCTGGAACCACTGTGCTGGCTGCGAGCTGTCAGCAGAGACCCCAGCCTTCCGGGACAGAGGTCAGGCCTGGTCCTCCGCCCCCGACCTGCAGCCCGTGCGGAGCTGTGGTTGACGAGCAGCTTCCAGGGCTCCAGCTGTCCTCGTGCGCCTGGCGCAGAGCTCTGGGCCAGGCGCTGGGGGTGCCCAGCTGTGCGGGGGCAGGAGCTGGCCCTGCCTGGAAGGCAGCAGCTGCCTTAGGGAGCCTGGCCAAGCGGGGTCTGTGACCCTTGGGGGTTGGAGGAACCTCAGTGGGGAAAACTGCCCCTTTATTTTCATGGACCGAACTGCACTTCGACATTTCCTTCTTATTAACATAGATGAGACGAAAGAAAAGAGAAACAGTGTGCAGCAGACCCTGAGACTGCCATCAACACGTGGCAGGTGCTCTCGCGAGGCGTGACTGCAGCTTTGGAGCATGCCCACCGCACCGGAGACCAGGGGTGTCCGGGCCACCTCCTGCGACTTTGCATGTCAACGAGGAAGAGCACGAACACGGGTTACAGCTCTGAAAAACCTAGCTAACTGTGTTTTCACTGGCACCCTTTGCAATCCTACTTTATTTTTTGCTTTTAAAAATCACCATTTCGGTCCTGACTGGGTAGCTTCAGTTGGTCAGAGCATCATCCCCCTAAGCCAAGGTTGTGGGTTCAATACCCAGTCAGGGCATATACCAGAATCAAGCAGTGAACGCACAAATTAAGTGGAACAACTAACTGATGTTTCTGTTTGTCTTTCTCTCCCCCCTCTCTGCTCTCTGTCTAAAATCAATCAATAAAAGTTTTTTAAAAATCATCACTCCAAGAAGGGCCCACAAGCTTTAGCATCGGGTGGCGGAGGAGCACACGCTTGTCCCCCAGACACACCCTCCGAGAAGGCCCCAGGCCAGGCGGGCCTGGCCGGGTCGCCGGGCACGGAGCAGGGACTGGGCACGCGCAGGACCATCACCAGCAGTTCTCCACGCCCCAGACGGTCCACAGGGTGCAAATAACACCTAAGCAACCCCTCGAACTGTGACTGGTCCTTGAGGTGTTCAGCTCGGACATCTCTTCCTCCAGGAAGTCCTCCCTGACCGGCCAGACTGAGCCAAGCTTCTCCTCTGCCTCCCACAGTCCTCAAGGAGCTTCCTGCATGAGCTAAAGGCCCAGGGTCTCTAACCTGGCCGCCTCTACTCCACTCACAGCCGCCATCCGACCACCCCTTCAGCCAGGCATCTACCTCACACGAGGTTACAGCCAGAACTCTCAGAAGATGAAACCTGCCCACCCATTTACAGAAGGGAAAACTGAGGGGACGGCAGGGCCCAAGAGGCATGGATACGCCTGGAGAAGGGGACTGGCGCCCCCTGATGACAAGAATGAGAACTGCGTCTTGCCACTTCCCTCCATGGCCTGAGACACAACTTGTGGGGGGGCAGCACCAGCCGGGCGAGGACAGCATGAGACAAAAGCAGGGCTCAGCCTGGGCGCCCATGCCCCCGCCCCGCCGAGACAGCCCTAACAGCAGTCCGGAGCCTGCCGCATCGCCAGCAGGGGCACAGGAGTGTGTCGGGTGGCTTGGAACGACCTCGCAGTGACCATGATGCACGTGTACTCCACGTGTGTACCAAGGAGAAAGAAGCACCACCGCGAACCAGCACTCTGCACACGCTGCCCTGCGGGAACGAGATGGCATGCACACAAATAAAAAATGAGCCAACCTAAGAAACAACAGCAAGAAAACAGCACTGCGGGCGGCTCGGAGAACTGAAGTGCGGCGTGTGCCCGCACCCAGCCGTGTGGGGCTGCCCCGGGGCTGCAGCAGCTCTGCGGGCAGGCGGCTCCGGGACAGGCCGCCCCACACGGTTCCCTGTGGTGCGGTGAGGACGGGCGGAGCGGGGTGAGAGGGAGCTCTGCTGTCTGTCCGGGAGTCTGCTGTCTGTCTGCTGTCTGTCGGGGAGTGCAGCGCGAGGGGACCACCACCGCGCACAGGCCCTGAGGCGATGGGCCAGGCTGCGCAGGGCAGGCGGGGGTGCCAACTGTAGTGCCTGGGGCGTGGACCCTCGCTGCCCCCACCCCACCCCACCCCACCCCCCTGGGCAGGGCCTCCCCTGGACGTGGGGTCGGAAAAGTGGGCCAGAGCACTGGGGGTCGGGTTCTGGCTCCCAAATTAGACTCAGACTTGGGCCTCGATTGCCTCCCCCGCAGAACGGGTGTGAGCGGGGCTCAGGCCGACGCCCCGCAGCACTCGCAGAACACCAGCGACCCCGGGGAGGCAGGGACCCGGGTGGGCCCACGAGGGCGCCTGTCCAGGGACAGGCTGCATGGCCAGGAGGACACAGGGTGTGCGGCGAGGTGGACACTCGTTTGCGTTTCTCAAGTCAGGGTTCGAATGGGTTTGCTCAACCCCCAAGTCCAAGGCTCCGACAGTCTGACTTCAGCAGGGGCTGGAGTTCATGTGCGAGGGGGACTGTCCTGTATGAGGGACAGAGGACATCACGCACGGAGGTAGGGGACCCGCACTCCAGTCCTTGTCCTGGGAGGCTGTGGTGACCGCTCGGAGTGCTCTCCTCCCCACCCCTGCCTGCGGGGTCTCGGGAGACGAGGACACGAGGACATGAGGACACCGCAGAGGAGCCGCACCGACGGCGCAGTGCCAGCCTCCCCCAGCGGCTGCAGTTCCCAGGCCCTCGGTCCCAGCAGACGGGGCGGCGTGCAGAGCGGACAAACTGTCCACCCAAGGCCGCAGGGCCGGGGGTGGCAGCACCGGACCACACCCCCCAGGCCTGCCTCACCTTGAAACCAGAGATGGCTTTGTTCTCACGCTATCTCTGACTGAGGAGAAAGGGGGCAGGGACAGGGGCAGGGGCAGACTGAGGGGACCCCTGGATTCTGGGCGGAGTCACAGGGAAGGTCTGGGCTCTGGGGAGGGGCGGGCAGGGCCCCCGGCAGGGCTGCGCCTCTGCTGTCCCAGCCGCTGGCACCCGTGTCACAGGAAGAGGCTGCGGAGCAAACAGGGCCTGCCTCCCTCCCTCCTGCTGCGGCCCTCCCCTCACAGAGGGACAGAGAAACCCGATGCTGGGCATCAGGTGACAGACAGAGAGAAGTCTGTCCCTGTCTGCACACAGGTGCAAAGGCACCCATGAGATGCAAGGACAGGCTGGACACCAGGGGGTGGTGATGACTCAGGCCATCCCTGCCAGCCTGGGGCGGGGGGTGGACAGAGAACAGACACAGCCACCGGTCCAAGTGACAGTCAAAACCCAGGAAGCAACAGCAGGGTGTGAGGAAGGGGAGACAAAGAGGGATCGGGGCCAGCTCTCCCCACTGGGGCGACAACAGCTAGTGGGGGACCCAGGTGGGCGGACACAAATACCACAGGGGCCCTGGGAGGGGGTGGGGTGATGGGGTGGGGTGGGGGTGAGGGGGGGGACACAGAGGGGCTCTCTGTGTGAGACCGGAGCCATGGGCTGGGTGCAGAGCAGCCAGAAGAGCGGGGCACGCCTGGGGGGGTTGTATCTTATAGGGATGGGGCCCCCCTGGAGACCGGGGCAGGGGCCGCTGCCTCCCCTAACAGGCAGGCTGTCGGGATTACACAGCGAAGGCAGGGGCCAGTGCCCCCTGCAAGTCCTTGCACTTGGTGACAACCTGCAGCAGGACAGGGGATGGCCCAGCTAATAGGCCGGGAGCCTGAGCTGTGGAGACAGCCAGGAAGGCCAGTCATGACGGCCCAGGCACCCCTGGCTGGGCAGGCGCTGGCTGCAGCCACGAAAGCCTCAGCCACCCGACAACTACCCCTTACTGCCCTGCACTCGGAGTCCAGGCTCACAGAGGTAACGGGGGCGGGGGGGGGGGCGCGGGGGGCGGGGAGGCGGTCACTAAAGTACCCAGATCCAATTCGACTCACACACACACAGGACTGTGCATCCCACCGGGGGCCACGCTCTTCTCAGGGACCACACTGTCAGTAGCTGAGCCTGCAGGGCACACGGCTCTGTGGATTGAGTGCTGACCTGAGAACCAAAGGGTCACCAGTTCGATTCCCAGTCAGGGCACAGGCCTGGGATGCGGGCCAGGTCCCCAGTAGGGGGCACAGAAGAGGCAACCACACACTGATGTTTCTCTTCCTCTCTTTCTCCCTCCCTTCCCCCACCCTAAATCTTAAACACACACACAAAACCCAAGTGACACTTCTCGTGTTCTCAAGCTCTTGTTCACACACACAATCACCCAGGAGAGCCCCGAGCCCTGCAGCACTGGGTTTAAGAGTGTGAGCGGCCCGAGTTAGGGGACCTGGGTTCCAATCCCCTCCCTCCCCACTGCCTCACAGCATGTAGCCTTACACTCCCAGGCCTGGCTGCCCACCCACTGTCTGCTACAGTAGGCACTGCTCCGTCTGACCCTGCCCCATAAGGGTGCCCGACACCGTCACCCCGCTGGACAGGAAACCGAGAGTCAGGCGGGTGAACTGGCCTAAGCGAGGCCACATCTCTCCGGGCAGGGAGGGGAACCAGCGAGCAGGGCTCGCAGGGCTCGCAGGGCTCGCAGGGCTCTTTCCCTGAAGGACTTGAGGTCTGTGGA